TGAAAAAAATATCAATTGTAAACTAAAGCTACAAAGCAAAGGATTGTTCTAAAAAATTTGGGGGGCGTACCTGAGCTTAGAATTCTCCAGAGGCTTGCTTTAGATTTTCCATATATTTGTCTGTAATTTTCCCGGGACTTCTTACAGACAAATGTGTAAAAAAATTTAAAAAAGTGGTTCTAGGTCTTCTGGCGCATGTAACGCCCTCAATTTTCTTCAGTAGAATTCTTAGGAGAGAAGCTTTAGTTTAAAAATCATATTTTTGTCAGAACAGCCGTTCTACGGAAATTATTCGACATTAGATTCTCATACAAACACTGTAATTTTTTTACGCGTTTGCCTACTCGTCAGGATGGCGTCGAAAACCGTGACAAGGTTTATGATGACAATGGGCTGAAAATGTACATATCCAAGAGGGGGGGTCAAGGTAATTTTCGTGACGCCGTGATCGACCACTTTTCGCGTCCGTGAATTGTGTTGTACAGAAAACCTTTTCCGTGAATCGTGATTGAAGTGCACTCCATGAAACCTTAACTGCCAAAATCCTCGATTGTTTACACTTACACTGAAGATCAATCGAAGAAAATTAATCGTTAATTTAGCCAAACGACCTTAACTAGCATCTGGTGGCTTGACTTAACTTCACTTTCGAGTCTTTTGATGTATCTTCACACTTCAGCTGCGCTCAGACCCACCTACAGCTGGCTTCCCTGGGAAATTTGTAACCGCGCAGTGTTTTTCATAAGGTTCATAAAACTCTAGCTAACTTCCTAAAATATCATCAAAGCACTCTGTTTTACAAAATGGGACTGACGTAACGTTTTTAATATTTTGTACGCTCTCTATTTTTGAGGATCCTGAAAACGTAAATATTTGTTTCGTGACTCGTGAAACGCAAAATTGTTGTTCGTGAACTCGTGATGTGAGCCCCCTTCATCCAAGTCGCGCACATTTGGTTTGATAATCTGGATATTCTTTTGCACACTTAGCTCCGACGTCGACGGCAAGGTATATCCTAAGTTTGATACTCTTAGCTGTTTTTACTGTCAAAGCGATTTAATTTCCCGTGAGAGCGAAAATCGATGCTTTCTGTTTCACGCGCGTCTTGTGACATGCAAATCAGCCAAGAAGTGGTATGTAATGCGCATGTGCATCAGCTGACTGTGTCCGTTTAATGACTTTGGGTCGCCAGTGCGTAGGGCGCGCTTAATGTCCTTTTATCTTAACCTTCCTAAGATAAAAAAGTTCTCTCTCTTCGAGCGGTCATAAATTTCTTTGCCACTAGGGTGAATACAGTCAACTCTCTCTACGACGGACACCTTTGGGACCGACACTACCTGTCCGTCTTAGAGAGATGTCCGTCTTATAAAGAGTCAAATAGAGGGAGGAAAGAAAGGCAGGGACCAACTCTAGTTGTCTGTTTTACACAGGTGTCCGTCTTATAGAGGTGTCCGTTAAGAGAGAGTGGATTGTATGGTGACTTGGGACACAAAGGTGACTAGACTTGCTTACTAGGGTGACTAGGCATTGATTTCTTGTGCTGTCCAGAAATCGATGGTCTTATGGACGTGCTATTTGACAGAGATGTAACCGTTCTATCTTTTTGACATGAAGCTAATATGGCAATCACCTGGTCTGCCTCTCTTGATAGATCAGCTATAGCCTGAAATGCCTGATAATACTCTGGCGCATCTCTGCACATCAAAGGTGTCCTTCTATAAACATTCTTTAAAGACGCTTTGTATTATCTTCCCTTTTCAGTTCTTTTTTGTAGCCGCTCTCTTCGTCAAATCCTAGAGCTTTTCTTACATAACAAATAGAGAAGAATTTGTGCAGTAAGTAGGATGTCGTTGAAGAAGTTCACAGCACTCCGCGGCACATGCGTTCCTTTCAATGGTGTACCCTAATTCATCATATATTCTTGCCTAAGAAAAATAAAAAAAGGGTTAGTATGCTACTAAACGTATGATTGATATGTCTCATTGGCCGTATAATTTGCGTCAGACAGAGAATGCGTCTTAATTTGAAAATGGAACGGTCTTAATTTTGGATCGACAGTCCGCCTGACTTTATCCATCCGCTCTTCCATCAATTATGACGGATTTTGAAGATGGACTATCCGTCTCTGACGGATAAAAGGGAGTTTAGGAAACAACGACGGCGACGACTACGGGAACATCAATAAAAAGTGAATTTGCGCTGCCTCAAACTTTATATTATTCCATCTCGTTTAATTTGTCATATGTGGGTAAATTTTTTTGGAGTTGAATACTGAAGTTCATGAAAAGAAAAAGAACGTTGTGTTCTTGTGTTCTCGTCCTCGACAGAACGCGAAATTAGGCAGTCTCACGTTGTAGTCGTGCATTGACGGCTAAGAAATGTACAAAAGGCGTGATGTACGTGCAAAGTTGTTGTTTTGCTAATCTAACCTATTGCCTTTAAAGGTGATGTTACACGGGGCGATTCGGAACGACGATTTTTAGCAAAACACAGCGTTGCAATGTTGGAGCAATGTTGTACCCATTCGAAACAATGTCGCAACAATGCTACAACTCTGTGTTGCGCTAAAAATCATCGTTGCGAATCGTTTCGTGTAACATCACCTTAACAACAACAAACAACAACAACAAGTCTATTTCAAATAAAGTAATATATAGATTTAGCCAGGGCTAAAAGCGAAGCTCTAGTTAATATCTATGGTTTGCTAAACAAAACTGATATAAAATCGTGTAACGCCAAGCAGCGAAGGCAACGAAAACAGCCAAAAAAATCAGTAGGTCTAATTAGCACAAAACAACTTTGCACGGTTTTCTTGCACTTTTCTTTGCCACTGTTTTTCACGACTACAACGTGAAACTCAGCAACTTCCTAGTAACACGTTTTATTGAGGAAATGTTGTATGTGTTCCTGTTCACTATTTTTTTCGCTGCCGCTCATTTTCACCTTGGTGGCAGCTAGCATTTCCCCTGTTTCTCACCGCCGCTATAAAATTTTTATGTTTTTCTTCCAACGAAATTGGTCTCCTTTGGTTTTTATCTCTCGCGGGGGTGCGTGAAATGCAAAATTTCATCCCGGCTTATATGAAGGGGTGGACGTACGTGCGGACGTAACCCGTAACAACAGGGGTCTTTTTTTTTGTATGAGCATGTGCACTCAGTGACGACGCGAACAGTGACGACGACCGTGGTGCATAGGCTTGCTTGAGATTCAAATGGTATCAGGAACTTAGGAAAGACCTTCGTTGTACAAAATAAGTAAAGATCTGGTGATTTAAAGTGGAGACTGATGCGCTGAACGAGGTGAACGAGAATGTTTCTCAAGGATGTCTGACACGAACATGGCTGCTTGTTGTTGTTTGGCGCTCGACTCGTCTTGATTCCCCTTCAAGAACAGCAAAGTCTGGCATACAGTGCATTGCTGACGGGTAGCTATTGAGCAAAATGTTCTTTATTTACCGTTTGTCTATAAATCGGATGTAAATTAGTTTCTCGATGCCGTAGAGGATTTCTGTCAAAAATTTCTGGATAGCTGATTAAGCTATATTTCGGGAGTGGATTAATAACGATCAGCAGGCGACTACCACGCCGTTATCAGTTGGAATAGAAAGTTGTTGCCTTAGTATTTTAGCGATACAAAGTTTGTTTATCGGAGAAAAGTAGAACTTCTTGATTTTGCGTGCACTAACATTGTAAGGCATCTTTTACAGGAATTGCTTTTAGCCAGAACTTGAGTGCTCTATTAATTTTTAACTTTTGGTCGGCATCACATGTTTACTGTGCTTCTTGGGAAACCTAATCGCTTGTTTCATCAAAATCGGTCACAAGATTCGACTTTAATTTCGGTTCTATTGAATGTAGTTTTGACTGTGTCTCATTGGTATCATTCATTTTTTTAATTGTTCGAGACGTACAGATTGACTTCCACCAACATCTCACCAGGTGACTAATCTACGTCTCGTGTGCTCTTAATTTTGTAGCTTTAAAGTGCTGGGAAAATTTTAGAACATATATTAATTCACTTCCAACCCACTCGATGAAATTTGCTGTGTTTTTTTAATATTTGTGTTCCTTTCCCATTTCAAAACAAAAAAAAATTGAAAGTGTTTACTTACATCAACAAACGTTTCGACACTTTGTTTAGACTTTGATGAGGTCAGGGCAATCCTAGAAGCAATAAATATACGCGAGCTGTTGTCCAGGTCAAGTCGGGAGATGAAATTTGATGGTAGCTCGTGGTATGTTAAAACCGGTCTACTTCGCTTTTGTTCAGACCATGTTAGAGTTTTTTTTGCAAACTACACATCTTGTTAAATCACGAGCACATTCGCCAAGACCAACGAGCAAAATAATCGCGGTGATAGCTTTGACACGCGCCATTTTGATGAAGGCAGACCCTGTGGTGAGCCTCCTCGCTTGTTCAGCGGTCGCGCATGCTCATGCAAAAAAGACCCCTGTTCCCCGTACGGACGATTTTCTCAGAACCAAAATTTCTTGGATGCATAGATTACCAAATTTTCTTACTCATGGTGCTCCGCTGCGTGCGCTACGAAGCTTGTGCCCGCAATTAGCGAGGGCTATTCGAGGCGGGCACAACAAGAGGAAAAAAGCGCTTAGAACAGCGATGTTTCAGCGCTATATAAATTCCATTATTATTATTATTAGAAAATTCTATAAATAAGCAATCTAGTTTGCCGTGAGGTTTATAGCCAGAGTGAGACGGAAGGCAGACTGTAGTTAAAAACCAGACCTACACAATGTCAAGATTTTGAGAATTGCACTCTAATATCAGAAATTCTAATATAATCGTCCTCTTTTTCCAGAATTTCAAAGAGTTTTCCCTTAAGTTCGCTTTTTAATTTTGCTGCACCCGTAGCCCTCCTCGTCGTTGTTGCTTAAACACCCTAATCCTTCTCTAGTGTTAACGGCCATTAACGTGAAGTGAAGTCATTTAATAAACAAGCACAGGTAACTTGCTTTCAACTTGAAAGACAGCTATGAAATTTATGGCACCTGATAGTACAAGACGTCTCTTGTTTTGTAGACTGCACCCAACTTTCTAAATCCTTTCACAATTCTGTCCAAGGCAGGAAGAGCAGATCGTAGATCTGGAAAAAATCAAGACAAGTAAGACTTACGTAACCAAAAGTGTCAAAGGTGAACGCGCTTTTATGATATTGTCGGTGATTAGAGTAGGAAAGAACCTTGGGAACGAGGTGGAATCTTGTGTCCATTCTCAGCACCGAACACAAGGTTCGGCAATCAACATAACGGCTAATAGACCGGCCTTCCAGTAGCCTGAGAAAGAAGTCGACATTTGGCGACGCTACCACTGGTTTCCCCGCCAAGTGACGTCTGAGAAACGAGCGCAGAAACTGATACCATAATGATGACGCGTCAATACCCAGATCTGGGGTAGTGCTTCTGATTGGTTGAATCAAATTTCCCACGCGGCACGACCAATCAGAAGCACTACCCAGATCTGGGTAGTGACGCGACATCAGTATGGAATTACTGCACTCGTTTCTAAGACGTCATTTGGCGGGAAACGAGTGGCAACGTCTCCAAATGTCGGCTGTTTTCTCACGTTAGCCCTCCATATGTTTTTTTGTTTTTCAACTTTTGACAAGGTCAAGCTAGGGAAAATTTGTCAAATAAAATCCGCTATAAAGAACGTCTTTAAATCCGAGTATAACTGCCAAGTTTGAAAAGGATTTGTCGAAAACTAACGAAAATATAGCTTCTCAAAGTCGCGATATTCTACAGACGTTTGTATGATGGAGGTACGGAAGAAACGTCTGTAAATTTTAGCAACATTGCGGAGTTATGTATATATCTTCGCTCGCTTAAGACGTATCACTTTTAAACTTGAAAATTGCACTAATTTTAAGGCGCTTTTTCCAATGGTGTCGACGGATTTTCCCTAACTTGTCCATGTCAAAAGTCGAAAAAAAAAGTGGATGGGACTATTAACAGGGGCGGATAGAGGGAGGGTGCAGGGGGTGCGCAACCCCCCCTGAGATGACCTGCAGTTTTCTAATACAACTGGTATTCTGCAAAAAAAAAAACCATGTGGTTTATTGGTGTTGAAGTAGAGCAAGAGACGAGAGCACCCCCTCCTAAAAAAAATCCTGGATCCGCCCCTGATTAAGGAAAGTAACTTAAAATTTAGCTAAATAAAATTAGAGTAAACTTAAGATGAAAATTACAAGGAGGCCAATGTGTACCCTACTGGGCCGAGTTGTTCAAAGCTGGGTTAAGATAACCCAGGGTTAGTTCGAAATTTGAATTCAGATATGAACGCTTAAACAGCAAATTCAGTTTAATTCTTTTTGTCAACAATTTGATGATTGGTTACTCTAAAAAGAATAGAGAAAATTGCCCCAGAAAATGCTTTTGATGAAAAGTAAAAGAGACCCCGGGTTAAAATTTAACCCTGGATTAGCGCGAATCAGCCTTCGAACAACTGGGCCCTGGTCATTTTGGAAGAAGTGATAGATCCTGGGTAGGAACTGTATCGAATTGCACTATGGGAATTATTTTTGGATGGTTCTGACCCAATTTCCAGCGCAACCCGGAAATAGCCAATAGAAAGAGCGACAGCGTCACCTCAAACAGATTGCTATTGCAAATAACACGAATTACCATTGTCCCTTCTGGTTTTATCCTCTTGTTGCGATGAAGCAGTCAGCTGACACTTGACTAATAAAAAGCGAGCACAGCACTGCACATAGAATGAACCTGAAAAAAGCAGAAAATAGCGGCCAAAAATCAGTAACATAATCCAAGCAGACTAGCATACAGGGGCAAATCTTTTGCATTCATGCTTTTTAGTGCATTGACATCATAAAGAAAGACCTCATGCTAAAACATGCTAAAGGCGTCTCTCTTTGAACTTTTCTCTGTTCTCGACACCACTTTAGCGGTCCCTGCAGAATTTCTTTTTAAGGGCTTTCTCTCTGCTGGGGACTAGTATCCATGTTGGACCTGGCTAAGTCACGTGAGTGATCTGTGAGTGATTAGGCAGTTTAAGCAGCGACGTTTTTGAGCGACGCACGTCAACCAGAAGTGGACTTTTTTGCCCTCTTGAGCGGTGATTTTGAACAAAGTTTTAGGCAAATCGTCTCCATAAGGGTAAAGACACTTAGCCATACAAATTTGGTGGCGTCAAGGCATTATAAAAGAGAAAACAAGCTCACTTCCGGTTGACGTTCGTAGCTCAAAAACGTTGCTATTATCCAGTGAAAGCACTTCCCCACTGACCTTGCCTGTCAATCGTTCTTCTAATTCGCAATTACAACTAGCTTAAAACTTGCCTAATCCCAAGACCTCATTATTCCGCGCGGCCAAAGCGTTTCGGGTCACAAGCGAAAAACTCACCATGTGACAGTATCTGCACCATGGTTTTCTTCACCAAGACGGCGGCTTTTGTAGGTAACCCTAAAGAAAGCTTAAAAACAACATTATTCTCGTTTTTAAAATGCAACTGAAATACGAGTAATGATAATAAGTGAACAAGGCGAACTGGTTTTACAAAACACCATTTTTAGTCCCTTTTTTGGACGAACAAACCCTAAAAATAAACAGAAGCGATGGGTTCCTCCTGTTTTGTTTTGCTGTTGTTTTAATTCACCCCTTCTTAATCCGACTTCAAAAAGGGCGAACGTCGAACAGGAAAATTAGGGCTAGTTTACTTTCTTGTCCAGAAAAGGACTGTAACAAAAAAAAATGCGACAGACTGGCACATCACTGTATCATTTACCACATCAATTTTCCGTTTAGACACGATTATAAGATGAATTTACAGTTTTCACGTTTCTTCTATACGGTATTCAGTCGTGGTTTTTCACTGTAAATTCTGACAGCATTTCCCTCGCGGTGTTTTAACACGCAGAGGTAAAAGCAGTCACAGTGTCACACTCAAGTTTGTTTCCCGCGCTACTTGTCGCGTGCAGTGCGTATTTACGCGGGAAATTTGACAGCTACTCTTCTGATTGGCTGTCTTATCCTGGGATTCACAAACACGAGACAAATATCTCGGGGTAACCGTCATGGTCGCTTCCTTTGAACTTTTTCACGATTCCATGGTTATGCCCGCCAATGGTAGGTGAACCTCGGAAAGAATTGGTCACATAGTTGCATTTAGTCTTAGGTAAAAATGTCACGGTCGTTTCCTATGAGCTTTTTGACGTCTAATGGAAAGTTAATGGTGAGTAGGGACATTACGATCGGACAAACGCGACGCCAATGAAAACTAGACCGCGTATCCGTGCAACCTTTTTTGCGGTTATCCCAAGTCGCCAAGCTATTCAAAAGGAGGAAAATCGGAGAATTCTTTGCTGTGGAATCCAAAATCCCGGACTCTGGAATCCGAAATACAGCTCAAGGAATCCGGAATCTCACTAACGATCCGTAATTGAAGTTCCATTGACAAAGAATGCTGATTTACTAGCTGGAATCGGAAATCCACGGCGTGGAATCAGAATCCAAGACTGTCTTGGATTCCCTTACGGGGGGAGTGAAAATGCGGTCATTTCGCTTCGTAGGTGTGCAGGAAGGCAAAGAAATTTTACAAAAAAGTGTGCTGCACGTGCATAGTTGTTGTTTTGCTTATTAAACATACATCCTTTTTGACGTTCCTGTTGCCGTCGCCGTCGCCGTCGTAGTTTCGTTAAGGTCCCTGATCTCGGAATGACCTGGTCACATATACAGCAGTATTTTGTCTAAAGTATTAAACAATTCTTTTAAGAGTTGGTTACTTTGAGTGTTAAAAGACTCAAAGTAGCCACAGCTCAGAATAATACCTGAATTTGTGCGATATAAAGTGTAGCTAGGGCAACAGAATTGTCCAGGAAGTGTGACCGCGAGATGGTTAAACAGTTCAAGGCGTACGGAAGCGCTGCCACGGGGTCTTCTAGTAATATGAACAGCTGCGCGAGAGCTGCGAGAATTCTGTTGATACGAAAGAGAGAAGCTTTAGACATTATAAACTTAATAAACTTGATCATACTTTAACGCACGGCGGGCGTGACCAAATCGAGTTACACATCTGGATTTCAAAAGAAGTCAGAACTGAGATAAGTTGAGCCTTTGTCGGCGTTCTAATGCTTCCTTTCCTAATTTACGCCTCAATTTTTCTTTTCAGCCAGATACATTAGTGAGTATCATTAACTCAGAAGAAAGCCTGGTACAATGATCAAGTAATCGAGAAGTATATTTAAAATCTACCTCTCTACTCCGGAGGGTTCCCACTGCTACCGTAAACCGCGGCTTGTAAGCTCCCCCACCACAACCCCACTTATATGCCTCTTCAGTTATAGGCCCATTTACTTGTAAACAAAAAAAAACTTGTAACTCCACTGATGAAGGACCAGACCGCAAACGTTCCCCACATAGACTGCTTGCAGTCCGCCTTTTCTCTTAAAATCCGTCTAGTTCTTATCTCAGCCAGCGCGATTGCAAACGACGACATTACGTTACAATGAGGGATTAGTCAGCAGTCTCTTATTTTTTCTTCTCGGGCTTACGCCCTCGTTTATCGCGGCTTGGGTTTTTTGGTGCAGTAACTTTGCAAAGAAAAATAAGAGGCTGCTCGCAGTCTATTCCCCACAGGACGGCACTTTTGTTCATTATTTTTTGTTGAACATTCCCTTATTAACAAAAAATACATCCGATCATAAACGCCCCCCCTCCACATCTCTATCATGTATTGAAATAAATTCGAATTCTCTCCCTTGTCCCCAGCCTCCACACGACACAAAGGGGTCTCTACAGAGGGCAGAGTTCTTCCCTAACAAGTTATCCCATTATCTTGTTTCATGTTTCGTCCAGTTTCGATCTCTGTTTTAAAATACGCGGAGCAAGGCTCCGTGTCAAAGATGAAATAACTGAAGATAATTAACCCATTACCTGGTTTGATACTCAACAGCCGATTTCTTGCCATCATTTATGAACACTCGGTCTCTGGATTAGATACAAGGATACGAAAAACAAGAAAACAAATGAGATCGATAATCAGTCAGCTCTCCTTAATGCGGACTCGAAAGAGAGAGAACTCAATGTTCTTTAGAGAGAGATCGAGATTGTATGGGAATGAGAGAACTGCCAGCGGTCTGAAAACAACGTGCACAGGGGGGTAGATAGATGTACTTGGATTCTGAGAGGGAAATATTGCATGAAATTACCTGGCGCTGTCAAGCAGTTTCTGCAACAGAGGAAACGCAGCAGTGTAATCTCCTGTATGAAGCATGTTTAAAGCTAACCTAAACAGAAATGATGTTTTAAAAAGATAGAAAATTAGTCTGTCATCCCAGAATATCTCAATTTTAGAGACCAATTATATTCACAATGAAAACTCAAACAAATCGCTTAAGTTGTTCATCAGCCTGTAAATAACGTAGTCTGCGAGAAAGCTCTCCATATCGATATCATGAGAAGACACGCGCGAACGCCACGCGATAGCAGACCCGAGAACGAGGGGCTTCACCACCCGTTCACGCCATCTCGCGCGGGTCGCTTCTCACGCCATTCTAATACTGCCGTCTGTCAACGTATCCCGCCGTCGCCAGTGGCTTGGAGTGATGAGATGCGGCTGAATACGCGGGACAGTTGTCAGTAGAAACATGGCATTATCATTACGCGAGCGCTCTTGAAAGTAAGAAATTGAATTGGTTTACATATTTGATGACCTTTACAAATTCATTTCCATTTCATAACAATCAATTTGGTGAACGAAATAATCCTCAATAAGGCCGAAAAAAGGTTGTTTACCACTTACAAAAAGTTTCCGGAAAATCCGGTTGGAATGTTCCAAACGGAAAATTTGTGCTCCATTTCTTCAAATCCATATTTGATAAAAGTTTCAGGCCTTCGAGGCGGTTTTTCGGTAAATGGAACTCATTTGTGCAAATGGTAAACGCGATTCTGGGAAGCAATTACCAGTCCTGAATTTTGCTTACCATTTGTTCAAACGGTGACCCGATCGGTTTGTCCAAGTAAATGGCAAACAACCAAAGTAACTGTACAGTCACTACTTCGACATAAACTGTTAACCTGTATTCTGCTTCCGGTTGATCCACCGCTGCTAACCGCTCCACGCATGTCTTTGCTTCATCCATTTTCCCTTGCAGTAACGCCCTGCTGTGATCAATCATGGCTTCTGTTGCCATCCACAGCTACAACGAACACCAGAGAAGAGGTGTTTTATCAAAATGTAAAGCACGACCGGTAGCCAAAGCCAAGTAATATGATGTATGTTATAAGAGCATGTACGTTACCCACCTTAGATAGCTTGGAGGGTTCAGGAAACTTTGTTTTGCAAAATGTTAGGATGTCTGAAGCCTCTTGGAACATACCCTAGAGAAAAAGGAATAAGCACTGTGAAAAACGAACGGAGAAAAACTGCTAGGCATTTCGCTGGCGATGGCAAAAAATATCTTAGTTCTTAATCCGTATTATGGCGGTCTATACGGGGAGGCTAAGCCCGAAAAGTACCTTTTTATGCTTCAGGTGTATGAAACAAAGGGTAGGGATTTCACCAGTTGAAGTATAGGCTTATTCCATACTTTCTTGAGCGAGGTCAAAGTAACTGAAATTTACATACCGTAAATCCTCTATTAAGCCCCCCCGTTATTTATTTCAAGCCCATCTGGGAGGGGGGGGGGGGCTTAATAGAGACGAGGGGCTTATTTGAGAGGGGGGGCTTATTTAACTTAGAAAAGACGATGGTATCAGTTCTCCATAAAGAACTAGAATACAAAGTGAAAAAGCTAAAGTACAGGAAGGTTGGAGGTCACGCAGCCGAGGATCAGAATCAAATCTGAACTTCCAGTCTCTCATTTATTAGTGAAGAATAATTAAGGGCGGGGAAGGGGGCTTATTAACTTTCTTCCCCTGAAAACGGAGGATTTTTTAGAGGGAGGGGGCTTATTTGAGAGGGGGGCTTAATAGAGGATTTAGGGTACATGATAAAAAAGGAAACGATTAAAATGCCCAAAATGGAGAGGCACGATCCTTGGAAGGACTTCATTTTTTTTTTTAACAATAATACTGACTGATTTTTCAAGTTTCTTACTTTATTTGAATGCTGCTGGGCCAGACTGCAAAGCGACAGACAGTTAGCTTCAGCACTTTGTACCCTGGTAGCACCATTAACTGCAGGTACAGTCCCCTGACTTGATAATGAACTGTTCAGTTGTAATGGAAGTTGGGTAAAGATGCTTGCAATACAACTGGAAAGAAAAGTGATGGTAAGTTTAACTATTCAGGACTACTCCTGACTTGTCCCCAGTCATCTCTTATCTATTTACATGCGGGAATCGCACACAAGGCATGGAATACACGTCTTTTTTCTTTATTTTTAAATGCCGCCTAATATTTAAATTGCCCGTGGGGGAAATCTCTATTCCTCATAAGCTCGGCTTCTCGGAGATTTCCCCGCCACAGTCACCCCTTCCAAGTTGTATGCTCATTTTAAATTTAACATTAATTAAACTATTTATTATCTTTTTTTATCCTTCTTGTAATTTATTCCGTGTGCCAAAATAATAAAATAAAATAAATAAATAAAATAATGTAAGAAGCACGACCAGACCAAAGAGAGAAAAAGGGTAGGAAGGAGTCATGGATGAGAGGACAACAGATGTGCCCTTTTTACAATATTTAATACATTAACATGTGAACAGTGCTCGGAAATCAGCATACAAAGGCGCCACCGGCAGCCGCCGTCAGTAAATTTGTGAGCTTACTATACGCACCCAAACCATGATGTGAAGGGGTGATGAGTCCCCTTGACTGCGCTTCTCTTGTGAATATTAATAGGAGACTGAGAGACAACGGGAGACAAGTCAGCATCTGTTCTATTTTCACAGTGCACACTGGTCAGAACAGGGTAACGTGAAGCAAGTGTGAAGCACAAAATGTGAGGGGTGCTACCTATAGTTCACACATCCATCAAATAAATAATATGTCAAAAAACAGTCTAACTTGTACATGAAAGCAATCTCCTGTTAATGTTTGCATTTCCACACATTGTGACTGGCTGAAAAATCTTGCAACTTGTTTTCAAACAATCACAGGTAAAACTGAAACCAATAATTAATATGACTATATATTTTAATGTTAATATAACTATTATAACTTGCTTACAAGTGTTTTGCCACACTTGGTGCTCGCTGCATGCATGTGCCTAGAGATCTGATCAGTTCATCTGATTGTCAGCTCGTATTGGCATTAGCTTGCCTGATGACTTTGCTTTTAGTGGTTTCTCGGTACTCCCAGTACTCCAGCCTAACAATGCTTCTTTCATTTAAGCCTAAAAACATCTTGTTCTTGTACAGAAAGTAAGTGACTAAATTGCACTAAAACATCACTCACTCTTTGCCGTAGATCTGCCATGTTGCTGCTTGTTGTACATGAGTTGCTGCCATTAGATCGGAAAGAGAATTCTGAGAGTTGATGATGTTGATTTGAGAAAGGTTTTGTAAAACCCTACAAAGAGACAAAAAGTCAAAGTGCGCACTTATTCAAGTTTACTCTCATTGTGGTACGGGAGATAGATGCTGCAGTTTAGTACCCAAAACAACAGTTGAATAACAAGTAGTCAACTCCCGTTATTGTGGAGCCTTTGGGACTTCAAATTAGTGTTTGTAATAATGATAGTCCATAACAGCACGATTTTATCACCCATTTTATTTCAGTCAAACCTCTGTGGCTGCCATCTGCATTTTTGGCGCATCTATGATAGCTACATGCCTACAAGGCAAGCATTTCAAGACTGTACGACAAATTTGGACTTACATCCAATCAGAGTTGACTTAGGGCAGAAAAGAAAACAAGACATAAGAATATGTACATTGAATTTGACTAAGAAAGCCAGGGCGACGGGAGAAATTTTGAGGACGCATGCGCACATGAGGGGCGGAAAAGGCCACGATACTTCCTGTTTCTCTCCTCCTTCTCTCCCCATTTCATGTTCCCCTGGTGCACTCTTAGCCTGCAAAAACAGCCGCTTCTCCTCGCTCTTCGCCGCTGGGGACGTTTCGCGCGGAGGAACGTCTGCGACTCAGCGAGAGAAATTCCATACCGATGACGTAAATCAATGTTTACATAAAAAATCCAGTAGTCATGAGGTTGCAAATACAATTTTGTTCAATTTACGTTTTGGTAAAGTGTGGTGTTGATCTACGAACGAGCTTCAGCAAAACTCAAATGCTTCTTCTAGAGAAGACTATATTCCACAAATATTGACTGTTTTGTTAGAGATTCATCGCTTTCAAATTTCACCTTTGTGGCCTTTTGTTCGTCATTCGTAAATAATAGCTAAAACAATGTAACTACTCCGTCGACCAATTAGCGCTTCTGACCGGATTCCAGACAGATTTTACGTCATCAGTATGGAATTCCTCTCGCTGAGTCGCAGACGTTCCTCCACGCGAAACGTTCCCGGCGGCGAAAAAAGAGGAAAAACGGCTGTTTTTGAAGGCTAGTGCACTCTATAAAAACTAACCAAATAAACTAACCGGCACCTGCCACGCACGTTACTAAAAATGTTTTAAAGGTACTCACTTTGGCGGTGGAGCTCCGGCCATTGTATCATACTGACAGTGGTTCAGCATCCCAAGAGAGGTTAAATACTAATGATATTATCAAAAAGGAAAGAGACTTAACACTTTAATTTAAAAGTACGCGAAAGAACGCAGCTGTTAATACACCAACAAAAGTACAACTGAGAGTAAAATCTGATATAAAATTAGCTCAATTTTTCTTCATACAGGAATCTTAAGTTCAGCTGCTCTTGCAACAAATCTGTCCAGCAAAAGCTTTGCTTGAGAACTACCCTCTTGTTCCAATCTGTAAAGCCATCCCTAGGGAAAAACAAAACAAAAAGAAGAAAAAATGGTATATCGATAAGGTACAACTTAGAGATCTTAATTTGTCATGGTGTGACCAGTCAAATTTAATATCTTGCCATTACACTTGTTTGATATTGCCTGGCACATCTTTCAGGATTTTGCAAAATGAAGTTAGAGAGTTTACTGAAATTATTTACTGTGAGAGCAGCCTAGCCTGTGTACAGACTTCCCCCCTCCCTCAGAAAAAAAAATGAGGGAGGCGGGACGTCTGTACACAGGCTAGAGCAGCCACGTTGTCTCTTAAAGTTTGACAACTTGATGTGGCGCAAACGACCGGACTTTAATAAAATGTCCTGTTTGTAACTAACCAGCACTACCAAATCAGCTACTACCATTGACCCATAAAGGTTTGTTTTAAAGGTTAATGTCCCCTACCGAGTCCAGCAAAGAAATAACAACATGCACAGTATAACAACAAAACCAACGTCAGCCACATCAGCATTGCAACAACTAGAAAGTTACAAAAACAATAAAAAAGCCGCTCTTTCCAGTAAATATGGTAGACAAATTTCTTTGCCTCAATGCAGTTTTTCTGGTTATTTGTCATTCTGAACAAACAAATAGCTTTGTAGTTTTGCTTAACAAAATCTCTGATAGATTTCAGTCAAATGCTGACATACCAAGCAGTGTTCTAAACACACATGGTCATTTGTCTCTTGTGCAATTTGAATGGCCTCCTTTAATGCTGCCATTGCCTCTTGCCTGAACATCAAAGTAAACAAAAGATGGCATTATAGAATAATCACTAGATAAGGCTTTTTTGATATCTGGGATAATCAAGGTCAAAGTAACTGTTATCAGCTGAGCCAAAGGCCGAGGCTGATATCACTTACTGATACCTTGATTATTCCCGACATCACAAAAACTGAATCTGATGACTGTTTCATCATACTTTGTTTTAAAGAATATAATGACAAATGCACCGTCACACAGAACACAGTTTGACATTCCTCCTGGAAATCAGATTACAGATTACAATCTGTAGGTTGCGCAAATTTCCAAAATTAAATGTCGGCTTTAACCAATGAGAAGTCAGATAGTGAGTAGAATGTATAATAATAGTAAAAATAGGCGTGCAAAATGAATTAGTCAAAAAATGTGAAAGGACTTAAACAAATATTTTTACGAGTTCATTGTTTAAGCTGAGTTTGAATCTAGGTATTTCTAGCTGTTATATATTTTCTTGATTTTTGCGTCATTCACAGGTTATTTTTTAATGTGCTATCAGTGAATCAGTAGTAAGCACATCATCCCAATAGACTAGTTTCAGATACATTGAAAAAAATAAAGATTAATGTGTTCTACAGTGTGACGTCTTTTTCTGTCTGAGAGGTAAACAGTTTTTGACCCTTGAAAGTAATTACCTGTGACCAAATCTACAATGAAGAGCAGCTAGATTGAGAGCAGCGTATCGGAATCTGTGGCATCGTTCCGTCTCCACTTCCTCTGAGTCACCCACTCCTTTATTTGCTAAAGAGTCACCTTGCCATTGTTGTCGATCAAAGTAATGATACAAGCTGTCCAGTGCCTCCTTGAATTCATTAGTTCTCAGGCAATTAAGGAAGCTTGCAAAATGCTGATGTAGAAAAAAGTTGAAACATTAATTAAATTAAAATGTTTCTCCGTTTCTGATTGACTCAAATCACATTGGCTAATTCTTCATAACCAGGTACCACTGACCAACTTGAAACAGAAAATGACGTCAATAGAACAAAGTAATTGCCAGAAAATTGAAGACGATTGTGAAGCCCTGGGGACTAAGGTTGGGTTAATTGTTTTGGTAGAGCAAGACAAAATGGTCCAACTTTTCACACATTTTGTGAAGAAGAAATAGCGCAACCACTACCTAAAAACATAGCAAGAACAGACAGAATACAACTTGACCCACTGTTATTTGCCTCTTTGCATTCAGCTTGTTTGCTTTCTACCTGTCCTATTGGGAATTGATTCAAATGACTTACAAGGTACTGCATATCTGGGAGTTAACAAGACTTTGCTTCAATTTTATTTCAGAGAAAAGAAATTTTAAACAAGCAAACTTACAGCCTCTGCAATATTTGGTGAAGCAGTCAAAATGTCATTTATTTTTGACTGCAGTGCAGGTGGTGGAAGGGCTTCTTCCTCAGAAGACTGTATTAGACAAACCTTGCAAAAAAATAATCAATCAGTATGTATTTTGCTTATTATTTCTATCTTAAAAGACAACTCTCTGAAGTCTTTTTTAAACAGGGGAACAGAGAAAAAAGAGGGAACAGGGGCAACAGGAGGAAAAGGGAAACAGGGCAACAGGGAAAACAAGAAGACCAAAGTAAACAGGGCAACAAGGGAAAAGGGGGGAACAGGGGAAAAGAGCGAACAGGGAAACAGGGGAACAATGGAAAAAGGGGGAACAAGGGAAACAGGGACAACAAGAGCAACAGGGAGAACATGAGAACAAAGGGAACAGGGGGAATAGACAAATAGTGGGAACAGGATGAAAAGGGGAACAAAGAGAACAGGGATAATAGGAGGAAAGGGAGAACAAGGAGAACAAGGAAAACAGGAAAGCGGTGGGAACAGGGCAACAAGAAAACATTGGGAACAGGTGAACAAAGGGAACAGGGAGAACAGAGAGAACAGATGGAACAGGGGAAATAGGGGGAACAGGGGAACAAGGTGACAAAAGGGTAACAAGGGGTAACAAGGGGTAACAAAGGGGTAACAAAGGGGTAACAAAGGGTAACAAGGGTAACAAAGGGCAAGAAGGGTAACAAGGGTAACAAGGGTAACAAGGGGTAACAAGGGGTAACAAGGGTAACAAAGGGTAACAAAAGGGTAACAAGGGTAAAAAAGGGTAACAAAAAGGGTAACAAAGGTAACAAGGGGCAACAAGGGCAATAAGGGCAACAAGGGTAACAAGAAAAACAAGGGTAACAAAGGGTAACAAAGGGTAACAAGGGTAACAAAGGGTAAATAAGGGGTAACAAGGGTAACAAAAAACAAGGGTAACAGGTAAACAAAGGGTAACAAAAGGGTAACAAGGGTAACAAGGGTAACAAAAAGGGTAACAAGGGTAACAAGGGCAACAATAGGGTAACAAGGGGTAACAAGGGGTAACAAGGGGTAACAAGGGTAACAAAACAAAGGGTAACAAGGGCAACAAAGGGCAACAAAGGGTAACAAGGGTAACAAAGGGTAACAAGGGTAACAAGGGGTAACAAGGGGTAACAACAGGGGTAACAAATAAGGGTAACAAGGCAAAAAAAAGGGTAACAAGGGTAACAAGGGCAACAAAGGGGCAACAAGGGTAAATAAGGGCAACAAGGGGCAAAAAAGGGTAAAAATGGCAAAAAGGGCAACAAGGGGAAACAAGGGGTAACAAGGGTAACAAAGGGTAACAAAGGGTAACAAGGGTAACAAGGGTAACAAGGGGAAACAAGGGTAAATAAAGGGTAACAAGGGTAACAAAGGGTAAAAAGGGTAACAAAGGGTAACAAAGGGTAACAAGGGTAACAAAGGGTAACAAGGGGTAACAAGGGTAACAAAATAAGGGGTAACAAGGTTAACAAAGGATAAGGGGTAACAAGGGTAACAAGGGTAACAAGGGCAACAAAGGGTAACAAGGGTAACAAGGGTAACAAGGGGTAACAAGGGTAACAAAGGGCAAGAAGGGTAACAAGGGTAACAAAGGGTAAAGGGTAACAAGGGTAATAAAGGGTAACAAGGGGTAACAAAGGGTAACAAAAGGGTAACAAGGGGTAAAAAAGGTAACAAGGGTAACAAAAAGGGTAACAAGGGTAACAAAGGGTAACAAGGGCAACAAAAGGGTAACAAGGCAACAAGGGTAACAAGGGTAACAAGGGTAATAAAGGGTAACAAGGGTAACAAGGGTAACAAGGTAACAAAGGGTAACAAGGGTAAGGCAAAAGCGGTAACGGAAAAAAGGGTAACAAGGGTAACAAAAGGGTAACAAGGGTAACAAAGGGTAACAAAATAAAGGGTAACAAGGGTAATAAGGGGTAACAAGGGTAACAAGGGGTTAACAAAGGGTAACAAGGGGTAACAAGGGTAACAAGGGTAACAAGGGTACAAAAGGGTAACAAGGGTAACAAAGGGGTAACAAGGGGTAACAAGGGTAACAAGGGTAACAAAGGGTAACAGGGTAACAAGGGGTAACAAAAGGGCAACAAGGGTAACAAAAGGGTAACAAGGGGTAACAAGGGTAACAAGGGTAACAAGGGGTAACAAAGGGTAACAAAGGGCAACAAGGGGTAACAAAACAACAAGGGGTAACAAGGGTAACAAACAAGGGTAACAAAGGGTAACAAGGCAACAAACAAAGGGTAACAAGGGGTAACAAAAGGGTAACAAGGGTAACAAGGGCAACAAGGGTAAAACAGGCAACAAGGGGTAACAAGGGTAATAAAGGGTAACAAAGGGTAACAAGGTAGAAAAGGGTAACAAGGGTAACAAAAAGGGTAACAAGGGTAACAAAAAGGGTAACAAAGGGTAACAAAGGGGCAACAAGGCAAATAAAGGGTAACAAGGGTAACAAGGGGCAACAAAGGGTAACAAAGGCAAAAAAGGTAACAAAGGTAACAAAGGTAACAAGGGGCAAGGGTAACAAGGGTAAACAAAGGGCAACAAAGGGTAACAAGGCAACAAGGGTAACAAGGGTAACAAGGGTAACAAGGGTAACAAAAGGGGTAACAAAAGGGTAACAAGGGGTAACAAAGGGTAACAAGGGTAACAAAGGGCAACAAGGGCAACAAGGTAACAAAGGGTAACAAGGGGTAACAAGGGTAACAAGGGGTAACAAGGGGTAACAAAAGGGTAACAAAGGTAACAAGGGTAACAAAAGGGTAACAAGGGTAACAAAGGGTAACAAGGGTAACAAGGGGTAAGAAAGGGTAACAAAGGGTAACAAGGGTAACAAGGGTAACAAGGGTAACAAGGGTAACAAGGGTAACAAGGGGTAACAAGGGTAACAACAGGTAACAAGGGGTAACAAAGGGGGTAACAAGGGGTAACAAAGGGTAACAAGGGTAACAAGGGGTAACAAGGGTAACAAAGGGGTAACAAGGGTAAACAAAGGGTAACAAGGGTAACAAGGGTAACAAAGGGTAACAAAAGGGTAACAAAAGGCAAACAAGGGTACAAAAGGGTAACAAAGGGTAACAAGGGTAACAAAGGTAACAAAAAGGTAAAAAAGGGTAACAAGGGGTAAATAAGGGGTAACAAGGGTAACAAAAGGGTAACAAGGGGTAACAAAAGGGTAACAAAGGGGTAACAAAGGGTAACAAAAAGGGTAACAAGGGTAACAAGGGTAACAAAGGGTAACAAGGGTAAAAAAGGGTAACAAGGGTAACAAAGGGTAACAAGGGGTAACAAGGGGTAACAAGGGGTAACAAGGGTAAAAAGGGTAACAAAGGGTAACAAGGGTAACAAGGGTAACAAAGGGTAACAAGGGTAACAAGGGTAACAAAGGGTAACAAGGGGTAACAAGGGTAACAAGGGGTAACAAGGGTAACAAAGGGTAACAAAAGGGTAACAAGGGTAACAAAGGGTAACAAAGGGTAACAAGGGTAACAAGGGGTAACAAGGGTAACAAGGGGTAACAAGGGGTAACAAAGGGTAACAAGGGGTAACAAGGGTAACAAAGGGTAACAAGGGTAACAAAGGGTAACAAGGGTAACAAGGGGTAACAAGGGTAACAAGGGGTAACAAGGGTAACAAGGGGTAACAAGGGGTAACAAAGGGTAACAAGGGTAACAAGGGGTAACAAGGGGTAACAAGGGTAACAAGGGTAAAAAGGGTAACAAGGGGTAACAAGGGGTAACAAGGGTAACAAGGGGTAACAAGGGTAACAAGGGTAATAAGGGGTAACAAAGGTAACAAGGGTAACAAGGGTAACAAAAGGGTAACAAAGGGTAACAAGGGTAACAAAGGGTAACAAGGGGTAACAAGGGGTAACAAAGGGCAACAAGGGTAACAAGGGTAACAAAGGGGTAACAAGGGTAACAAAGGGTAACAAGGGGGTAACAAGGGGTAACAAGGGTAACAAGGGGTAACAAAGGGTAACAAGGGTAACAAAAGGGTAACAAGGGTAACAAGGTAACAAGGGTAACAAAGGGTAACAAGGGGTAACAAAGGGTAACAAGGGTAACAAGGGGTAACAAAGGGGTAACAAGGGTAACAAAGGGGTAACAAGGGTAACAAGGGTAACAAGGGTAACAAGGGGTAACAAGGGTAACAAAGGGTAACAAGGGGTAACAAGGGTAACAAAGGGTAACAAGGGTAACAAAGGGTAACAAGGGGTAACAAGGGGTAACAAGGGTAACAAGGGTAACAAGGGGTAACAAAGGGTAACAAAGGGTAACAAGGGTAACAAGGGTAACAAGGGGTAACAAAGGTAACAAGGGTAACAAAGGGTAACAAGGGGTAACAAGGGTAACAAGGGTAACAACGGGTAACAAGGGGTAACAAGGGTAACAAGGGTAACAAGGGGTAACAAGGGGTAACAAGGGTAACAAGGGGTAACAAAGGGTAACAAGGGTAACAAGGGTAACAAGGGTAACAAAGGGTAACAAGGGGTAACAAGGGTAACAAGGGGTAACAAGGGTAACAAAGGGTAACAAGGGGTAACAAAGGGTAACAAGGGGTAACAAGGGTAACAAGGGGTAACAAAGGGTAACAAGGGGTAACAAGGGTAACAAAACAAGGGTAACAAAGGGTAACAAGGGGTAACAAGGGGTAACAAAGGGTAACAAGGGTAACAAGGGTAACAAAAGGGTAATAAAGGGTAACAAAAGGGTAACAAGGGTAACAAGGGTAACAAAGGGTAACAAGGGTAACAAAAGGGTAACAAGGGTAACAAGGGTAACAAGGGGTAACAAAGGGTAACAAAGGGGTAACAAAGGGTAACAAGGGTAACAAAGGGTAACAAGGGGGTAACAAAGGGTAACAAGGGTAACAAAGGGGTAACAAGGGTAACAAGGGTAACAAAGGGTAACAAAAGGGGTAACAAGGGTAAAAGGGGTAACAAGGGTAACAAGGGTAACAAAAGGGTAACAAAGGGTAACAAGGGTAACAAGGGTAACAAAGGTAACAAAGGGTAACAAGGGTAACAAAGGGTAACAAAGGGTAAAAGGGTAACAAACAAGGGTAACAAAGGGTAACAAAAGGGTAACAAGGGTAACAAGGGTAACAAGGGTAACAAAGGGTAACAAGGGTAACAAGGGTAACAAGGGGGTAACAAGGGTAACAAAACAAGGTAACAAGGGTAACAAGGGTAACAAGGGTAACAAAAGGGTAACAAGGGTAACAAGGGTAACAAAGGGTAACAAAGGGTAACAAGGGTAACAAAGGGTAACAAGGGTAACAAAGGGGTAACAAGGCTAACAAGGGTAACAAAGGGTAACAAGGGGGGTAACAAGGGTAACAAAGGGTAACAAAGGGTAACAAGGGTAACAAAGGGGGTAACAAGGGTAACAAAGGCAACAAGGGTAACAAGGGTAACAAAGGGTAACAAGGGGTAACAAAGGGTAACAAGGGTAACAAAGGGTAACAAGGGTAACAAGGGTAACAAGGGTAACAAAGGGTAACAAGGGGTAACAAGGGTAACAAAGGGTAACAAGGGTAACAAAGGGTAACAAGGGTAACAAGGGTAACAAAAGGGTAAAAAGGGTAACAAGGGTAACAAAGGGTAACAAGGGTAACAAAAAAGGGTAACAAGGGGTAACAAGGGTAACAAAGGGTAACAAGGGGTAACAAGGGTAACAAAGGGTAACAAGGGTAACAAGGGGTAACAAGGGTAAAAAAGGGTAACAAAAGTAACAAGGGTAACAAAGGGTAACAAGGGGTAACAAAGGTAACAAAGGGTAACCAAGGGTAACAAGGGGTAACAAGCAAAGGGTAACAAGGGTAACAAAGGGTAACAAGGGTAACAAGGGTAACAAAGGTAACAAAGGGTAAAAAGGGGTAACAAGGGTAACAAGGGGTAACAAGGGTAACAAAGGGTAACAAGGGTAAAAAAGGGTAACAAGGGGTAACAAGGGTAACAAAGGGTAACAAGGGTAAAAAGGGTAACAAGGGGTAACAAGGGTAACAAAGGGTAACAAAGGGTAACAAGGGGTAACAAAGGGTAACAAGGGTAACAAGGGGTAACAAGGGGTAACAAGGGGTAACAGGGGTAACAAAAGGGTAACAAGGGTAACAACAGGTAACAAGGGTAACAAGGGTAACAAAAGGGTACAGGGGTAAGAAAAGGGTAACAAGGGGTAACAAGGGGTAACAAAGGGTAACAAGGGGGTAACAAAGGGTAACAAGGGTAACAAAGGGTAACAAGGGGTAACAAGGGTAACAACAGGTAACAAGGGGTAACAAAAGGGTAACAAAGGGTAACAAAGGGTAACAAAGGGTAACAAGGGTAACAAAGGGTAACAAGGGTAAAAAGGGTAACAAAGGGTAACAAGGGTAACAAGGGGTAACAAGGGGTAACAAGGGGTAACAAGGGTAACAAGGGTAACAAGGGGTAACAAGGGTAACAAGGGGTAACAAGGGTAACAAGGGTAACAAGAGGTAACAAGGGGTAACAAGGGGTAACAAGGGGTAACAAGGGTAACAAAGGGTAACAAGGGGAAAAAGGGGTAACAAGGGGTAACAAGGGGTAACAAAGGGTAACAAGGGGTAACAAGGGGTAACAAGGGGTAACAAGGGGTAACAAGAGGTAATAATAGATTTTTATTTTGAGGGGCTAAAACACGTATCATTTTCCTCTTCTAATTGTGCCCTAACTGCTCAGAAAAGTAGAAGCCGATCACACAATATTATTAGAAAACATAAAATCTCTTGACAATAGAGGCAGTTAAGTTAACTTTCACTAAGTTCGACAAAAAAAGTTTAGGATCAGTTACTTTGGCTTGAGTTTTACTAAGTGTTAAAGATGCTAGTTTACAAAATAGCTCTTTGACATTATGCAATAATTTGAAGAATTCCAGCCCGCGCAGCTGGCGGAATTTGTCCTTGTGAGTAAGGGTTTGGCGGCAAAGACGCGGGAAGTGAGCGCTGAAGACATGAAAAACTTTAAAGCCCTGACTGTAGGGAGGTGTGGCGGGGCTTTGTTGAAATACCGCTAATTATCAAAAGTGAAAAGTTTATACTTCCTGATGATCTCCCTCCGATGTGGTAAAAACCCACATGGAGAGAGTGGGACTGACTTTCTTAAGAGCTGCAGGCTAAAAGTCCCTGAGCTTTGTTGAATACCTCAATAATGCTGTGTGAAGAGGTACCTTCAAGTGTCCATTCTCCAAGGTAAAACCCACAGGGGAGAGAGTGGGGCTGACGTTCTAGGGAGGTATGGGCTCAAAGTGGCTGGGCTTTGTTTAAATACGTCAATAATGCTGTGTGAATAGTTTCTTTCTAGTGTCCATTCTCCAAGGTAGAGCCCACAGGGGAGGGAGTGGAGCTGACTTTCTAGGGAGGTATGGGCTCAAAATGGCTGGGCTTTGTTTAAATACCTCAATAATGCTCTTTGAATAGTTACCTTCAAGTGTCTTTTTACCAAGGTAAAGCCCACAGGGGAGAGAGTGGGGCTGACTTTCTAGGGAGGTATGGGCTCAACATGGCTGGGCTTTGTTTAAATACTTCAATAATTCTTTGTGAATAGTTGCCTTCAGGTGTCTATTCACCAAGGTAAAGCCCACAGGGGAGGGAGTGGGGCTGACTTTCTAGGGAGGTATGGGCTCAAAATAGCTGGGCTTTGTTTACATACCTCAATAATGCTGTGTGAATAGTTACCTTCAAGTGTCTGTTTACCAAGGTGAAACCCACAGGGGAGAGAGTGGGACTGACTTTCTCGGGAGGTATGGGCTCAGTCTCAAAATGGCTGGGCTTTGTTTACATACCTCAATAATGTTCTTTGAATAGTTACCTTCGAGTGTCTGTTCACCAAGGTAAAGCCCACAGGGGAGAGAGTGGGGCTGACTTTCTAGGGAGGTATGGGCTCAACATGGGTGGGCTTTGTTTAAATACTTCAATAATTCTCTGTGAATAGTTACCTTCAGGTGTCTATTCACCAAGGTAAAACCCACAGGGGAGAGAGTGGGACTGACTTTCTAGGGAGGTATGGGCTCAAAGTGGCTGGGCTTTGTTTACATACCTCAATAATGCTGTGTGAATAGTTACTTCCTCGAGACCATTCTCCAAGATGAACTCCCCTCTCAGATGGTGGGCCTGTCCACCCTGTGCAGGCTTCAGTGTTCAGGAAGAAATGATTGGGAAATCTACAGTGGTTGAAATGAAAATACATTAAAACAGCAACAAGAACAAAGAAACAAAGGTTTAATTTGCTTGTTGTAAGCTTGTAAACAAACTTTGTCCAAAACATTTTTTTCCTTTCCAATCCTTTGACTAGTATGACACCTTTTCTGTGTAAGCTCAAAAGCTTTGAAGGATTATATAAAAATAATGCAGTAAGCAAGGATTTGCCTATACCCCTACAAAAAGATTAAGACAGTACTATTGTAATAATATCATTATATGGCTTAATCCATAAGCAGGCATGCAAGATGAAGCAAGATCCTTATTTTCATTATTATAATTGTCATTAATGATATTATTATTTAAGAGCTGAGAATCCTTTCAAATATTGATGACTTACTTCTTATGAGCAGCGGTAAGGACATCAGGTGACGTATTTTGCTCATTGTACCAGTGCAAAGCGATACCAGCAATATATTTGGCAGTCTGGGGATCATCCAACATTATCTCAGTCCATGAATGTACAAATAGCCTAGCATCATCCAACATCATCAATGTAACATTGGAATAGCCTAACTTGGCCAAGGTTGGACCCAAGTCTTCTTTTACAAAGTCTCTCTCCATCTCTGGTGTAAAACCCATACACTGGAAAGAATACCTTGACCAGGAGAAAAAAAACATTTCACTTCTTATTCACATGTTACAGGTCGAAATTAAATTCAAGTTAAAATTTTTTAACCTTGGTTGATTATCAGTTTCCCTTGTCTCCTAGTCCTAAATATTAGTCCTGAATTAATGCTATAGGAAAGAATCCCTCTACATGTATATATGCAGGTTAAAAAAGTTTATCCTGAATGTAATTTTGACCTGTAAAACATACATTAATTTTATACTGGTTACCACGTTCAATGGTCTTGCTGGGTAAAATTTCGTTATTAAAAAAGCTATGTACCTCATCGGGTTTGCAGCTGATATGTCCTCCTACCAGATGGGTCACAAACAGAGAGTTAAAGTTCGTGGGATATGTTCTAGTTACAGAGACACAGGGTCCCCTTTTTGGGCCTCTTTTGTTTCTAATTTTTATTAACAATTTTCGTTCCTCGCTCGTATGTCTTTTAGGCTCTACATAGACGATACTACTGCATAATACTCTGAGACCTCCCCTACTGTGCTGCAGTTTGTTGTGAACTCTGAACTTAGTTTATTGTCATCCTGGTTTGATCAGAATCATCTCCTTGTTAACAATGACAACACCATGAGCCATGCTCATATAATTACCACACAATTTACTCTAAAAGGTATTAAAGTAGGGACCCTAGAATCCATGAAAACTCTTGGGGTTAAACTGGATAAATTGTTAATCTTTAAGGGTCATATATCAGGGCAACTCAAGAAGGCATACCAAATGTGCAGCGCTTAGACTAGACGTTATGTGGATTTTATTAAATAAATGATTGAATGATTGATTGATTGATTGTTCCCTTTTTTTAAAGCCCAAGTTGTGGACATATATAGAGGCAAGACAATGATTTCTTTGAAAGATGGTATTTGCTGTTGTCACGAGAAACAGCACTCTTATTTCAGATTTTTTTATTAACCCAGAAGACATGTTTCTGGACTATTCGACTATACCTGAGGGGTGTGACTGCTTGTACATGTATAATGAAATATATTCTGATTTGTTATTGACCATTTTTTGTCCACCTTGGGGTAAATTTTACAAAATTAGCAACAAACAATGGAGATAGGGTCACTGAAAATATAATAGGTATTTATTATTTATTGCTCAATCATTACCCTGGAATAAAGCCAGTTGATGGTTCATTCTCTACTGTAAGCCCCCAAATCTTCACACCATTCTTCTCATAAGCCTTGATGAACTTGACAAAATATAAAGCCCAAGCTTTATGATACTTGTCACCAGCGACTCCTTTTAATTCACCAGGCCCTTGCATTTTTTCATTGGTCTTCATCCAGGCTGGAGCTGCCCAAGGGCTACCAAAGAACCTAATATTCCGTTTGCTCATCTTTATTGCGGAAATCATTACAGGAAGTTTCAAACTGAAATCCTCTTTAGCCAGGCTAAAATTCTGCATTTCAAAATCTCCTTCATGGTCGTCATATGAGTAAGGGTATGTGGAAAAATCACAGCTAGCCATAGGGATGCGTCCGATGGAGTACTCAATGCCATCTTCCGAAAAATATGATGAAATGAGTTTCTCTTGCAAAGTGGAGCTGATGTTAAAAATGTTGATTCCGGCAGCATCTGAAATTAAAGAATAACAGTGACAAAATGCATTGTTTATCCACAGGTTCAGTAAACAAAGTAGCCATGTTTGTTTTATCTTATAAGTTACTTTGTTTACTGAATGAGTTTTGTTTGGAAATTTGGCCTATGACTCGAAAATTGAATTGAATTGACTGGTTCAACTATCGATTCTTTTGCAGAGACATCTTTCCCAACCATACACGAGCTGGTTCGTAGGTCTCCAACCTTACACATAATGCAGCTTAAAGGTTTATGAGATTATTTTCTGTACCTGTAAATGCACCACCGAACCCGAGAATTGTCTGAAAAATCTCGCTTTGGTTCACTGTAAAAGTAAGTTCAGCTTCTTCAGCAAGAGGTGGACTTCCTTCGGAGTCACTTTGTATCTTCCCAGTCCTTAAACTGAAGCGATCACCTGCTTTTGAGCTTGTATAAACAGCATATTCCCCGTGAGACAAGGGACTACCTTCGCTAAAAGAGTCACACTCTAGCTCGTCCGAGCAGACACACACGGTTCCATCATAGCCAAAATGTTTGCTGTGGCAAGCAGAATATTTAGGAGGTGAAAAATTCACCGCAGAAGCAAAGAAAGAGAGAAACAAGGGTAACAGAAGGAGATTTCCAGTTTTCTTTCCCCGAGCGAGACTTGCCATTATGGCTAAGCTGCAGATATCGCCAGGCATTGCTCTGTCCAGTCTTAACACGGACTCACCATCTAAACACTAGTAGGGGAGGGGCTGAGAGGGACGGAGCCTGTTGATGCTTGGAATGACTTACTTTGAAGAGGAAAGAATGTCTCTCTGCTTATCTTACTGGACGACGAATGGAAGGTTTCTCAATATCTATAATCGCACTATCGCTACCTGTTCAATTCAATCATTGGGTTACAAAAACTGCTCGTCTGACCCCTCCCTTTCCAATTATCTCCTTGCTCCATACCAAGGCTCTAATTTTTTTTTTCTGTTTTTTTCTCTTTTGCGGGGCGGGGGGTGGGGGCTATATGTGAACTGAAGCCTAAAAAGAATAGAGTCATATCGTTGGCCATGTAGGACCCGACTACGCCGACTTGCCCAGATCTAAAAGGGGTGAAAATTCTTCATGTAACTGCGTTTGGCAGGCCAGTAAGAAAAAAATCACACTAAATTTCGTTTCCCCTGGATTGTAATAGAAGAATAACAGCCGTGAAGTTGGTTCAGATAATTTCAACATATCCACCATTTGTTGATGCATGACTCTTCATGTGGTAAATGACTCGTGTCATTAAAAACAGCGTATTACATCAACAACGTAGCTAGGATTTTCATAACAAAGAAAGCCTCTTTTTAATTATGCTAAAACGTGAACAGAAAAGCGTCTAACACACATACACAAAAAATACATTTTTGTAAGGAGGTAGACTTTAACATTCAAAACAATAAGCGGAATAAAGGCACAAAAAATGTCAATTTTGAAACATGTTTTTGTATGGGAAGTGTTGCTTAGAGACTGATGAAATTGCATAATTCAAATAAGTGCATGGCCCTATTTGCTTTCAGTTTGACAGCAAGAAAACAGCTTCAGAGCTGTTTTCATTTCTTTACTTCGACGATGACCCGTTCATCGACCGAAATCGAAATACATTATTTTTAATGTTCTGGGTAGATGTACAACGTTAAGAACGCATGGACTCAGCGTAAGAACGTTTGGACTTGGGGTAAGTACAGTCGACTTGTTTCGCGGTTTGCTCGCTCGGCGATAGTTGTTACTACAAGATTAAGGAATCAGATGTTAAGCTTACGTGCTTTAGCTTTAATTCAAAATGGCCGATAATTTGAGTAATGTTTACAGACGCTTATCACGAGCATCTGTGACCGTGAGATTTACATTTCAATATGTAGATTACAGTGACCACATTATTTTTTTCCTATTCGCTCCGGTAGAGTGAAACAAGAAGGAATTTTTTGAAGTTCCCAGTGAATGTTTGAAATCTCCTTAATGACCACGATATCAAAGATGGTCAAAAGCTAAGATGATTTTTGTTTGTGCACCACAGCATCCGTAACCAAATCATTATTCATTATATTATTTTTTTAGAGCAAAATATAATTAATTACATGGAGAGGCTGTTAGGGTAAAATTCCGACAAGCCACATGGCACAGAAATGGCAACAAACGACACGAAGATGGGTGAAACTGTAACTGAGAGCCACAGAAAAGCGCAAATACAATAGTAACATACCGACAGCGATATAGCTTGCTCCCGCTCAGTACGCAAAACTATAGGTTTTGAAATTCAGACAAAGGGCATACGTATTAGGGCCTCCATGACGCATCTTCGAAATTCAACAGAATGTGGTCGCGTTCGAACGTTCTTCAATAATCTTCACAGACCCACGGAAAGCACAGGATTTTTTTTTTAACTTCAGGAAATAATTTAGGAAGGCTCTCGCGTTAATTGAGATTTGTGTTCGCACTAAAACACTAAATGGTATTTGTTACCTGTATTACTTCACCGCGAAAGTATTTTCAATTTTGGTGCAAATCACTGAGCGGTAATCACTGGGCATCGGTATGATTTTGATAGAGTTGAGCTTAAGAATGTCTGAATTACCACAAATTACATTATGTATCCTTGTTCCCAGGACTTTAGCAGCAGTTTAAAAAGACGAAGTCCTGAGTAAGAAGAACCTGTTAAAAAAAAACTTGAGTTGTTATCTAAAATGTCTCCCAAAGTATGCGGCTTGTTTGTGTTAATGTATATAACAATTGTTTTTTCTCCTTTTTTCTTTAACTAAATATGGAAAGTAAACATCAGCACGGAAACTAAGATTACTGCTGTGAAACGTAATTACGCTTAAATGAAACAATATGGATAAAATGCGGGTAAGGAAAAGAGATTAAGGTATTTTTACGAAGAGGAGCATCAGTTTCTCTCAGTCTGACTGAACCCTTTGTACTAAGAGAATTATAAATTATTGAAAGATTCTAGAAAAAAAAAAAGAAAATTTGACTTCGCGCCGAAAATTTTCTGATGTTTTGCAGTCTAAAAAAAGTCCGTTGAATATATAATATGAAACTTTAGATTCATACTGATATTGACGGGTGGCAAAGCATGGCTCTAACTTTGCTACAATTGCGGTTTAAACTTATCTCACAGTATTAGAGACCTACCCGAACCTCATTTGTTCTCCCTGTCCTGACTGTCTGTCATTCCTAACCCTTGTAACTAATCACGTTAAGAACACGTGATTGCGGTGCAGTAAATCCTAAAAACTTAGTATATGATACAGTTTGGGGGAACTTATGCAACGGTATAAGACCAGTTTTTTTTAGATACCCTGCATGCCAGCGGGAGCCAGAAATTATCATTTTTTTTTTCTATTGTATGTGTTAAAAGGAATTCTAAAAATGTTAGCCTTATTCGATGATTGTGCACTTTATACAGACTTAGGCTTTTTTTCTTAAAGTGAAAAGTAAAATTAAGTAGGAATATTATTTATTAATCGCCCAAAAAGGAAGTTTTCAAGTAAAGCAGCATCTGTTACTTTTTTTTACTTGCGTCTGGCCTTAAACCAAGATTTATCTAATATATCTATCAATGAAGATCTCAACCCTTAAAGCATCTCAGAAATTTTATCACATTTTTTCCTTGTCCCATCGTATCCCATGAATTTCTTATTTGCTAAAAATGTGAAATTCTGAAGTTATTTTCGTTGTGCTCAAAACGATTATCGGTCAGCAAATGTTTTTTGTATACAAACAGCCACCCGTTAGTTTGGTTAGGAAACCTGCTAGATGCAACCACTCGGCCAACGATGGACAGGTCCTTCGCCAATCACAGCGCGCATTGTGACGCGTCATTTTTGAGATGTAAATAAAACAAGTAAATTGGGGACTGATGTCCAGTCAAGTTTTCGAGGTAAAAATTGCGAGGTTGCAAGACGCATACTAGCGTTTCGTACTTAAAAACTTGCTAAAATGCCTATACCAGATCGCAGAACAAGTGGAAAAGAAGGTAACTTTATTTTAATACTGGTAAATTGTACCCTCAATCCTAAAGAAAGACGTAATTCACCTATAGAAAGTCCCCATACTTAGTGTTGCAAAGATGGGAAGTCGCTCCAGGTAGTTCAAGTTTAGAAATATAATCTTGAAAGGCGTTTTTCTTTTGAGAAAAATGGCACGTTCGATATTACATGTTTAAATTGGACAGCGACGATAAACTGAAGACATTTTACTTTACATTATAATTTTTCATCGCAAGTACCATCTCGAAAACCAGAATGATTACCTGAATTTTTTGACTTGTTTTTTTACGACTTATTTGTGCTCTTTTACAGGAGCAACTTTTACTCTTTCAAAGCTACTCTATTGAACAAGTCAACTAATATTCACGGTTCCTCGGCAATTTAAAAAAACATCATGGCTTTACATAAAGCGTCCATTTGAAAGCATTGATCTGAATTATGCAGAAATTTAAGACAGGGATTGCATATTAATTGATTTGCTAGCACGTAGCGTCTATATCAGATTCTGATTATGTCTCGGAATGCGTGTCTGTCAACTGAAGTCTATTGAACTAACTTAATCTAACGGCAAAATGGAGAATATCCAATTGCAAATAAAATAGTACCTTAACTCGGTAAGAAAATACACTAAAAGCACTTAACGAGTAACAAAGGCGTGGCCAACAAAGAAAAAAAATGGTCGTGTGTGCACCAAGTAATATTTTGCATTCTATGAGATACATCAAAAGACTCGTCAGTTTCAGTATTTTGCTCATACGCATTCAAACAAACATCGCCAATAAACAGGCAAGGGCCAATTCGAGGAAACACAACACGATCACGATGTCTCAGCAAATGTTTTACTATTAACGTACCTACAAAGGGCGAAAAAATAATAGTTACAATACAGAAAAACTACCTAAAGGCGACTGCAAAATGAAATTAAAGAAAACGATGGAAACGAAGCCGCTTACCAAATGCTGAGGGCGAAAAAAAATAACAGTTACTGATAGACACGAAAAAAACTCTAAAGCCGACTGCAAAATGAAATTAAAGAAAACGATGGAAACAAAGCCGCTTACCAAATGCTGAGGATAACGAGGGTTGGTGGTTAGGGAAACCAAAAAAAAATCTACCGCCACGAACACTGTTACACTGATAGACACGTAAAAACTCTGTTAAAAACGGGGCGAGATAACAAACTGTAACCGAATTTACATACAGCACGTAACAAAGGAGCGTAATTAACAAAATAACGGAGAGCGAAAAGAAAAAGAATACACGATAACAAGTAAGTGTACGAAAACGAAAACAAAAGGAAAAAATTTATTTGCCCCAACAGCCAAGTATAGATTTGAACAGGTGACTGCATGAGATTCGGTTTACATGATACATGTTTGGAGAAAAATGAAACATTTTTAAGTAGATGGTGGGTAAAACAGTCACTGACGAGAATTCGTGCTTTTCTTCTAGCAAAAAATGCCGCTAAAGATGTATTCAGTGGTGATAAAGGCGAAGAAGGTAAGGATAACAAAGCAACAGCGATATCGTTTTTTTAACCACTCATGGTTAACCTGCAGCTAAGACAGATCGCTGTTTTTGTTATTGTTGCCGTTGTTTACTTGATTGCAAATCAGGTTTAAACTTCGTTGAAGCTTAAAAGTGTCAACAAAACGGATAAACCCAAGCCGTTTGCGTATTCTGAAACATAATAAGAAACTGTTTAAACCTGGTTTTTCAGTGTCACCAGACTGGCTAGTGAAAGTGTCTAAAAAGACAAAAAAACACAGTGTATCCATCGTCAATATTTTGCAACAAAAGGGATATACAGAAGATAAAGCGCTGTACATAACTGCAAACCGGAACTGTTCCCAGTGAAACTAGGTATAATTGAATTTGTCTACTCTCGTCTATAGGGGCCTTCCAAAAAGCTGGAAAGTTCGTGTTGTCCTCAAAACTTTGGGAACACTCCACTCCTTCCAAAACCTGTGACGTTCTCATAACATTTCCAAAGGGAACAGAAGACTACACCGTAATGTGGTTGCTATCGAGGCTTCGAGCTCGTGCCCCGGATGTAGACGTCCATGTGCGACAAATGGCGCATTCACCAGTCTATGGCTTCTATCTCACTTCATCCTTTGAGGTATTAAAAACATACATAAGAGCCGGTGTTGAAATCCGCTCCCAGTTACACAATTACAACAACAACAACACATTTATTGACCCCCTTATGCATAAGTAAGATGAAATTTACATCCAATAGAAATTAAAGCCACAAGGGGTGTTGGCTTCCTAAAACCTAACTAACCTTCCTAACTCTATTTCTCTCCACCAAGCTTTTCGAGGTTTTGCGATACACGTATTTCTAGTACACATGAGTTTCAAAGCTCAAGATACGCGATACCTACATGAGCCTAGAGTTAGGCTGCCCCATACGTGGAATCAAACAAAAACTAATGGTAACCGGAACATAAGTGACCATAAAGAGGAGAAAAACAAACGAAACGAAAGAAGACCAGAAGCGTCTCTGCGGGCTCAAACTCCAGGTACCCTGAATTTTTCGATGAAAAATGCAGAGGCTAGAGCACTACTGGACTCTCGCCGATCAGTGTTCATTCGTAAGCCCACAAAAAGGTGTTAAAACTCGGCGTTTAAAGTGCTCGTGCGTTCAAGATCACACTAGAAATTCTGAAGTATTAATTCTTGAGAAGGATGGAAAACAGGAGTACCCAGCGAAATACCTCTCGATGGAGCAAGGTCAGAGCTCACAGCGTAGCCACCGAGATTCGAACATGGGCCGAAATGGCGCCCAGTTAGGGTTGCAGCTGCAGCTCCAACGTGGGGAGCGGCTAGATCAGTAGTGGACATTACAACCCGGGGGTGGGGGGTACTCCGGATTTCCGGATTTCAAGTGTCAGGGATGATCGAAGGATTTTTTGGGGTTTGAAATGTTCGATTTCGGGATTTTTGGGTAGGAAAATTTTGGCAAGTGTTTTGTTGGGTAGCCTGATTAAAGTAGGGATTTTTTGGGTATTCAAAACAATCCGAAGATTCGTGATAGTTCCCGCGTATCCCGGCTGCATAGTTCCTCTGGAAATTTTTATGGCTCGGAAATTCGCCATGGAAGTTTTTGGGGTTTTGTGTGAAGCTCTAGGGATTTTTTTGGGGTTTGATTTTTGCCCCTATTCGACCACCCTTGTCACTTGAAATACGGAGTACCTCCCCCCCACCTCCAGGCTGGGCATTACAATCAACTCAATTTAAAACGGACACCTAGGACCGGCACTAAGTGTCCGTCTTAGAGAGATGTCCGTCCTATAGAGAGTCAATAAAGGCAGTAAAGAAGGGCAGGGACCATTGAGGCAGGTGTCCGTTTTACCGATTTATGGAATCAACTGTGCTCCATTCCGTTTGATACTGTCACCCCAAGGAGTGCCCAAAAGCACTGTTGGAGCTTTCTTTTGAAAGGTCACCCTTCCAGTGAAGGGGTTTATTCAGTGCTTTCAAATCTTAAACAACAAACGACGACAGCATTTGAGGAATACCGACATGAATTACTAATGAATTAGTTTTGAACTTAGGCTTAAGCTGGAACCTGTTTATTTCAGGTGTTTTTGCAACAAGCGGAGAAATTGGGGTTGAAAAAGAAACTTCGCACTGGAGGAATAACAGAGTTTAAATACGACGAAAGGATGGCATATGAGGGTAGTGACGATCCTACAGCATTCTTCACGTCGGGTGAAAGACAGAGCATGATTCTTGAGATGGTGAATGATCTAAGGGCGGTCCAGGGAGATGAGTTGGGCAAGATCAAATTTGTGGAGGGACAGCAGATTGGTAAGAAAACAATCGTGGACAGTTGCTGCGAAATATGAACATACACTATTTTCATGTGGTAGTTTTTGAGAAAAATTGTGACACCAGGAGTCCCCCAAGTTTTTGAAAAGGTGGATAACTATATCCAGTGGATAGTGCATTGATTTAATTGTTGGATATAGTGTTATTCAGCGTTTGAGCAAAAAGGAGGGAATCGAATAAGATTTAATTGCATTTTGGAAAAATATGGAGCCACATATAAGTTTACCTTCTAGCGTTTAAACTGTATTAAGATCAACTAGAGCCAGGGAGGGTAAAATTGCTCATTCACAAACTGGATAATAATGACAATGATAACGATAATTAAGATCAAGTCTACGGTGCATTTTGGAAAAAGTCCTCTGAAAATCACAAGCAACTTAACTGGACTGAAGCCATAAATAAATCTATCATCTATATTTTGACTGACTATACAAACTGTATTAAGATCCCCACAAATTCGAGTTGAAAATGCGAGGACTAATGTTTCTCCTTATTAGTAAAATTTTTCAATCACGAACTGGATTATAATGGTAATAATGATGATGATGATGATGATGATGATGATAATGATAATGATAATGATAAAATAAACGTCTGAGGTGTGATTTCATTTTTGAATTTTCAGTGCCCAAACTGTTATCTGAAGGTGTGGTAGAAAAAATGTTTCCTCTTCATAACCACGATGACCTAGCCAAATTGAGGAAGAACTGGGTGTCGGCGTTTTTCAAGAAGCAACCACTAGGTGATTTTAAGAGATTTGTGTTCATAAAGACCACTTAAGGTGCTCAAATGATCGAAATTTGTCTATAAAACGCAGCCGGAAGTGAAGTTAATGCTCATGATACACAGCTTCGGAGTCAGAGACTTGAAAAAATGTTGTTTTAGTTTCCTTAATAGATTATGCAAGATAAATAGACGTCTAATTATAATGATATTGATAATAATAATAATGATAACTTGATACATTTATATGTCAAAAGAAGCAAATTTCTTTTTATTTTCAGACGAAATATGCCAATATTTTGGTGTAAAAATCGCCATGTATTTTGCCTGGCTGGGAATGTACACAAAATGGCTGGTTGCTCCAGCAATCCTCGGTATCATTACGTTCTTCTTGTCCAACAGAGGCGAGGCAACGCGCGACTGGTGCATCTTCTTTTTTAATATCTTCAACATCGTGTGGGCCACTCTATTCTTAGAGGCCTGGAAACGAAAAAGCGCTGAGCTAGCCTACAAATGGGGCACAATGGATATGCCATCAGATGCCTTGAAGGAACCAAGACCTCTCTTTCGGGTGAGCTCTTCAACCTTTTAAGCCCTGATATCAAAATTTAAATTCTCATTTGTTGTCTCTATACACTTCCTATAGAAGTAGTGAGGAGAAGTTGTTTAAGTGTTAATTAAATTCATCTTGATTCCTTAATTATTGTGACCAAAATGTTTTATGAAGCATAGATATTTCAAAAAGAAATAAGATGCTGATAGCGGAGTATTTTATACTACATCAAATGCACTGTAACGGTTAAAATTAAAGTATGACGGCCAGAGATATCAAGATAGCATTTAAATGAGGAAGAAAAGTTTACAATGAAAACACAACGGTTCAACACGCGAAACGCCCTGTATCCTTAAACGACTGTCCGATAGGACAACCTATACACTTATGCTCCTTAAAACTCAAGGATTAAAAGCTTCAACGCATTTCTTTTGAGAAATCAGTCTTTTTGCTAGTGCTTTCTATTGTACTTCCCTTCAGTATATTCCAAGATAAAAGTCTCCCCTAAAATGTGAAGTGTATCTTTTGTATGCTTAAGGTAGTGTGAAGTTTTGATAACCTGAATGTGTGCTCTGACTGAAGGTCTGAATGAATGAATAATAATAATAATAATAATAATAATTTTTTTTTAAATAATACAAAAATAACTTTATTCATAGATTCAAAAAAAATAGACTTTTTACAGATTCAAGAATATGAATATTAAAATACCCTATGTACATTCTTCTTGTGTACGAAAGAGAATTGTCGTAAAATGACTATCTAAAAACTACTAATAACAATTATAAAAAGCATCAAAAAGTTAATACAAAAATAAAACTATCTAAGAATAATTCAAACTGATAAAAAGTTACTACTTAAATTCTGGCTTGCGCGCTTTCCGATGTAATGTCAATGTCAGATATATTGACTGCTCTTCTCTTTCTCCTGGTTCCTCTGAGACACAGCAAGGCTGATCGTAGGATGGCAAAGGATACTTTCGCCCTTATCCAAGATATGGTTGTAGCGTAGTCATATAATAATAATAATAATAATAATAATAATAATAATAATAATAATAATAATGATAATAATAATGATAGTTATTATTATTGAGACATTATGATCTTCCCTTTTCTTTCTAACAGATGTTAAGGTACAAATTTCGTTTTAATTCTGTTTAAGTGAAGCACTGTACCTAGATCTTTTTTATGAGTATTGAATAAAGCTTTTTTGTTACCATAAAAAAATTATTATTATTATTATTATTATTATTATTATTTTTATTATTATAGGGTGATTATCAACCGAGTGAAATAACTGGACGGATCGAAGCACACTATCCATCTTGGAAAAGAAACATCTTTCGCTACTGTGTGTCGCTGCCTGTCATTTTGGCCTCCCTTGGCGTGGTGTGTCTAAGCATGCTGTTATGTTTTGAGTTTCAACGTTGGGTGGATGCTATGGAAAACCCACCCAAGCCACTCAAGTTTGCTCCAAAGGTCGCCCTTGCCGTGTGCATTGGATTGTTGGACGACAATTATAAGAAAGTGGCTTATCATTTGAACGACAAAGGTTGGGCATTTCTGTGATTTTTATCTGAGTTTCGAAAAGTAATCTTGCTTTGTCACGATTCTTAGTGCTACGCGTGTCGAAAAATAAAATGGCCGATCAGACATTCGGACACAGCATCAAAACAACTCAAGACCATTGCGTCGTAAAAAAGTTATTCATCGTGGTGAAGTGCGATAATATGCTTTGCTATTATTTGTCTTAAAAATACAGTCACTTTTGATTTAGAAGGCATCTAATCTAATTTATCTTAATTTAATCTATAAACTAGTCTAACGTCTAATCTAGTCTAATCTAGTAATCGTATCTAATCTAATCTAATCTAATCTAATCTAATGAAATACTGCAAAACAGCTTTTGCTAATCTAGCTAAGGAATAATCACGCCCTTTCGACATTTTATATGTATGTATTTGCTTTGAGTTTTAATTGGTTCACTGGATTTGTTGCCTCTTATCTGCTATTACTGAAAAACTTCAAAGAAAAACTATCGAAAGAAAAATACAAAGAAAAAAATGGCGGGTATCGCTGAGCTGTAAATGAGGTTATGCAACTTTTGACCATTGGTCTGGAGATTTACTTAATTATATTTGCGATTTTTTTTCGTTCTATTGACAGAAAACTACCGTCTGCAAGAAACTTATGAAAATCATCTGATTATCAAGCTCGTCTCGGTAAGGCTTGTCCTTTGGCTAGTATCTCACCAGACAAATGAATACTATTGCAATTCAATGAATTAATCACCTAGAAATAATTATAAATCTACCGATGAGCTTATAGCAGGAACCCCTTTAATTGGCTGCTAATCAATCTATCTATATCAAATATTTTTTGCAGTTCCAATTCTTCAATGCCTTTTTGGCGCTCTTTTACATCGCATTCTTTATCCGGGACATGGACAGGCTAAAGACGGTGAGTTCGTCCCGGTGAATGATCATATAATGTCGAGTTCACATCTTTGACAACCGTAGTGATTGCGTTAGCCCTTAATGTCATTCTCAGGATCTTGAGGAACATGTGAACTTAGACGGACAGATCTATAATAGAAACGCGCTGCGTGATTGCTTCCATATTTCGTTTACACGAACTCGTTCCTGAGAATTTTAGCATATAGAGTTTGTATGCGCGCAGCCAAGACTACAAGAAGTGGCGAGTCCAGAACTTTAAGAAAGTGGGGAACCCAGCTTATCCATACCCTGAGAAAAGAGTGGGGCCTGCGCTCAATTTAGCCTAATAATAATAAGGTAGATCTGCCCCTGACGAGAGCCTCCAGTTTCTACAATTTGATTTCCTCCAAGCTTGTTTGTTTCAGAAGGAAGCAATCGTAGAATAATTTCTTTCTAACAGCAACTGGCTGCACTACTCATTACGAAACAAGTTGTTGGTAATGTCAAGGAAGCATTAGTTCCATTCGTCAAGCAAAAAGTGAAGGAGTGGAAACTGAAGAAGCAGGAGGCCAAAGCGAAGAAGGAATTAGATGAGAAGGAAGCGAAGAGCAAGACAGGCTCAGGCGGAAATGAGAAGACAGATAAACCCAAGGAGCTGGACACGCCACTAATGAACCAGGCTGAAATCGAGAGCACCATGGCTGAGTATGAGGTGAGAAATAATTGCTGAGAGGGAAGGCTAATCAGCTTTGTACGAAAGCAAAACGCGAAAAACAAAAGGCTAAGACGGAGATTTTAACCCATGCGGACCCGGTAACTATGAATATCTTCAAGTTTCCATCCCCCCCCCCCCCTCAATTTTCAGTATTCAGGTCGGTTTAATTACCTTACGTAGTTACTTGCTTTCCTTTTTCACTGCTTTCACATGGGCCATAATGCACCTTGTTTACTCCCCAGAATTTTGCATAACCATCTTTTCCAATTTCACCTGGGTATTACAGTCATCCCAAGAGAAATCCAAGACAATGGTATGCAAAATTTTGTGGGGTAAACAAAGCGCATTATGGTCTATGTGAAAACGGTGAATTCGCATTTTAGCTATATAGCACTTCCTTTGTTTTACTAAGCTGTCAAGAGGCTGTCTCTGCCTTCCACCATCATGGGAATATCGAATGAAAACTGTTTGGTATTTGATCCACTCCTTTAGGCTAACAACCTGGGGAGTTTTTGGACTCTGGAACCCTTGGTCTTTACCAAACCATGGGCATCCGCTATTTTCCTTCCCTACGAGACTAGACACCACTACTGTCTATCTCAGACAAACTATGAAGCAGAAATTCTAATTCTTCATATGGCTGATAAGTTTCTAGACCAAAAACCTCTGATCTCTATACCCATCCCACAGTAAATGTTTAACTTCTTACCCTGCCCTTCACAGTAGCACTTGTCTCAGTTAGCCCATATATGGAGGTGCGCTCCCCGCGCCTTTGCCACACACCCGCTATTAGACGCATTTCAGATTGCGGTTTTAACCGAACCACTGCTTCCATTTTTAACTCCGCTCTCTTACCATTTACTTAATTTATAAGTAAATCTTTGCTGTAATTTTTATAACCTGCTATCTACAGGACACATTTGAGGATTACCTGGAGATGTTCATACAGTTCGGTTATGTGGTCCTGTTCTCCTCCGCCTTCCCGCTTGCTGCTTTGTGTGCCTTGCTGAACAACATCATCGAGATCAGAAGCGACGCCTTTAAACTATGCACCAACCTAAGGAGGCCATTTGGAGAGAGGGTAGAAAACATCGGCACCTGGCAGGTAAGTGGAACAAGCCAAAAAAAAATGTCATGGTGAGATTTCCTGACAATCCCGTGTAATGCATAGACTTCAAAATTGACCTGACTGCGTCATTACATGTTTCGCAATACTATTCATTTTAGAAGCTAAAATTGCAGATAGGTTAGCAACAACGGTCCTATTCAGGCCTGTACACTCAACTAGATGGTCGTACTCCAAATACGTATTGCCAGCGGTAAAGGTCAATTTTTAATGTTACACAGACTCAGTATCCTAAAGGACTTTAAACTGTTTGTGTCCTAATAAATTGGCAGATATAGCGATTTTAATATGACCACAGTCACGACGGCGTGCGCTGACCTATAAACCGACACGACCAATGGCAGAACGACAAAGTCGCGTTCAGCACGTTCGCTTTAACGTTCGCATTTGAAGTTGCATCGTCGCTTGCTAATACTGCCTATTCTAAATCAATCACAGGTACAATAATTTTAAAAGCTATACTCAAAATCGTGGTAAGTAGAGGAGACTGATTATGAAACAAACTGATGAAAGGCGGCAAACATCAAAGATAAAACAACGGTGCCGCAGTTTATTGGGAGCTCCCTGACGGTGCACAATTGTTTGTTTTCTGTTGACAAATTGTGACTGAAAAAAATAAATGCGACGTTTTCATTGGTCCACAAGATCAAAGTGTTAGGAATACTATTGAACGTTCTGTTCCGCCAGGTTTACAAAAACAGCTATCAGACCATTCTGACGGGTTTCATAACCATTCCACTCTATTAAGTATGTCAAAATTTACGCCGAAAAAAGGTTACCTTAGCTAACGTCCTCCGTAGAACAACTACAGTCCAGTCTTTTTCTTTGTAAGGATGCCATGGAGGTCATGGGTGTCATTGCTGTGATGGTGAACCTGGCTTTGCTGGGCATGGGTGGCTCGGTCCAGCGGATGTTCCCAAACATGACAGTCACTGATAGAATCATCCTCATAATCGTCTTAGAGGTTAGTTAACCTTATTAAAAAGTGTTCAGTTTTACCTACTTCCTTGATTCAATAGAAGACCAATTTTCGAGCAATGATAATAAAGAATAAGCAAGTTGCTTCTTTTATTATAAAACAATAAACAAAAAAAGTAGCTGACAATGATAACAAATGATTAGTTCGGTAGACATCTGCACTCTCAACAAAGCCAACTTGATGAGCCTGTCATACAATTAAGATATTCAAGTCATTCAAAAGGGTATCAGGTCAAAAACAAGTAGGAAAAAAAAGAATCTTTCACCAGAGCAAATTAGGAATTTTTACATACAATAGCGAACCCTATCTACAACAGACATCGTTTGGACCGTCTCGAGCCCTTCAGTATAGGAGAGAAATCCGCGTTGCAGTAAGTCAAAAAAAAAAAATGCTGAGCTGAAGAACGACAAGGACCAAACTACCGTAAACTCTAGAAATATCCCCTCCTTCAAACCCCTTTCAAATTAGCTCCTCCTTTAAGCTACAAATTTTAAACAAGCGAGCCCTTTCTCCACTCAAAAAAAAAAAGATTCGTGAGCGCTAACTCGAGCATTTACTAAAATATGCAGGTGTCCGTTCTACTAATATTGGCCTTTTGGAGAGAATAAACTATGATGAATGTAGTTTTTCCCGTTAGTTACGTGATCAAGTCTAGACGCACTAAATGCTTCCATGTAACCTTCATTCGTTCAAGTTTCTCTTTTTAAAGATTTGTTGTTTTTTAGCACCTTGTTCTTGGTATCAAATTCGCTGTGGCCTATGCCATTCCTGACATACCAGAATGGGTAGAGAATGAAATTGCCAAGATGGAGTTCCAGCGCAGGGAGGCTCTTAAGGTAGGCTTACATGAAAACAAAAACCATCATATATCCTTTAGTCCTCAGAGATCTCGGTTTTTTGTGTTGAGTCGCGTGACCTCAAGAAAAAATGATTACAATGAGATGTTCACAAGAAGGGTTGTGCACTTGGCCTCATTTTGAAATTGACGGGTTTTGGAACTCGGAAGTGGCCTATTGTAACAAAGGAATTATTATTACTATTTTTTCTAATTCCAGCCCTGTGAAACCAATTACACTTCCCTGACATACGCAAAGTCACTTTTCACAATCCTTCTAACAATACTTATTATTGTTTTCAGGGTACTCCCAGTACTCCCAAGACTCCAAAGGACTCTAAAGCTCATACACCAGTGTAGCTAACAACAACGAGAGACCATCGCCATCCGTTAAGCACCTATGCACTTGAAGAATTCACATTACCCTTTTCCAGGCGTTCAGATAACAGGGAAAATGTGAAGGAGCTGAGAGAATGGAGCAGAGAAACAAAACAGAGAGCAACTAAAGACCAGCAACAGTCTAAACCTAAGGCGCTTCCTCTCCTCCCGCGCCCGCAACCCTCTCTTCCGTTTTTTTTCCGATTTCCGCTTTCCATAACGCTTCACTCTACATTATCCGAACGCCTGGAATAGGCTTTGCTCAAAGTGAGGTACATCATAGGCTTAAGGTGATTTGGGGCCCATTCTCGGGAGGTACATTTTGATCATCGAAGAAACTTAGACTTGTTCATTGAAGACGAACATTTTATATCGACACTTCTCACCAAATAAACAAACCGTTAATGTAACAATGAACACTTGCCTTTAAACGACCAGTAGAAAGCACACACCAATGTACTGTTACAAAGCCCTTTAACAATGTAACTGTCGACTAACAAATCTCATCAACGTAAACTAACCATAAACACACCAAAGAAAAAGGATTACTAGAAAGAACTACCAATTTAAAAAGTATAATTTAACGAGTAACCGATAACTTACACATACATTACATTACATTAAAAAAATCAGACAACAACGACAAAAACCTGTGTTAAGAAACAGGAAGCGGGAAAAAACAATCCGAAACTAATATAATGATGACCAACTTGCCCTTTTATATAGCTATTTTGCAGCATTTATTAACCTGTATAGTAACCAAATACACAGACGACACTGACATATTATTACACTATTTTTTAAATAATAAATTCCAAGTGGAATGTTGGTAGATCCGATATATCTGAGTCTGTTCCTTTGAGAAAAGACCAGAAGCTCCAAATGTTATGCTTTAACAGAAGATGCCGCCGGAAAAAAAAAAGGCGCTTTGAGGAAACTTTGATTAACAAGAACTGAAGAAACGAATAAATTGAAAGTAACGAACAACCAGAAACAACAAAAACACAGGTTTACAAAGTGATGGGTCGGTAGCAAAGACCTTAGGCAACAAACGTAATACAAAAAGTCATACACGTTGAACGGTGACAAAAATATTAATTACAAATTATTAAGTAACCGTTCCTTTGCGACAAACAGAGGAAATGTTTATGGATACTAGATTACAGAAATTGCAGTATATTACCACAAACAGAGCAACTTTATGTGTTAGTTAGATTTTTGTTTTTTTCAAATTCTCTCCAAAGACTACAGGGATTTGTCGTACGTTAGAATTTTCTTCACATTCCGGCACTAGTTGTTGTTTCGATCTAACAGTTCTACTTACTGAAAGTCAATTTGCTTTAAGTCTATTTTGCAAATCATCTTAGTTACTAAAAATTTAACAACTAATCAATAGGACCTTAAATAATAAATACCAACAGAACATTTTAGGAGGAGCCACCCACCATGTGAGCACAGTCACGGACAATGTATAAGTGAGGAAAATAACGCAAAGTAAAATTAAGACGTTAATAAACGAACTAAATGTACAAGCTAGGGCTCAAAGTCACCATAGAAAAATAAAATAGAAACTGACCACTAACATTCAATTGAAAAACATATAACCAAAGTGGAACAGTGCCGCTAATAACTAATGGAGAGACACAGATTACCACCAGAGTTTACTAACGAAAACAATGAAGTGAGACAAGTCAATCATGCAATAAGATCGATCTATCTATCTAACGACAAACATTTTGTTTAAAAATATATATTAACTGCTCCTTCACAAGAACGGCCTCTTAAACTTCACAAAGCTACTCCCTGTTGGGGATCATATTACGAAATAACCAAAAGTTGTAAACGACTAACATGTTAAAGCACTTAATAGAGTTCACAGAATTAACAATGAGACTAACAAAATAAACATTACGGATTTGAAAATCAAAACCACTTCACCACCCACGGCCATAAAGGCATATGAGAAAACGGCCTATTTAGGGCAAATGACACCTGAAAGTTGGTAGAAGGCTGTTTTGTATTAACGTGAACAATTCAATAGGGAAATGAAGAAAACTAAATCTTAGTGAATAATAATAATAATATTAATAGAAACTATTAATACAAAGTGAAAAAATTACTAACATACTTATTACTATAACCAGTATTCATTATTTTAATACAGAACATTATGCTGCATTAACAATGAAAAATTTTAGATGTTAACAAAGTAATGGCACTAAACTAATTGATACAAGCTAGCAACATTTTAATTTACGAACAAAGTGTAGCTGAACAAGAAGACAAATTCTACATTGTAACATGATTAGCTTTGTCACGAATGTCACAAACAAAACTGAGTTGCAAAAAAACAGATATCTCATGAGAAATGAGCCAGATTTTGAGAAAACTAAGGCTTTTTAATTATACTCTCAACTTCAAGGGACAAATATCTAGCAAAATTTACGGACAATTTGTTTTAGCTTTGAAATAAAACGAAGCTGAATAAACAGACGGAACAAGGGAATGCAAAGGAATAAGACTTTACTAGATGACATACCAAAACGGTAGCAAGCAAATGGCAACTAAATTGATGAGACTTATAAATAAATGAAAATCAGACAATTCAGTAAACAACTAGAAGGACAAAGTGGTTTCTTACAGTTTCGAATGTTTTGTAGGAAACTATCTGTAAAGGCTTTTTGATTGACTTTTTGATAAAAATATCCCGGGGTAGATAGCTGTTTAATATTCTAAGGCTAGCCAAGTTATGTTTAGATAGGTTTATCTTCATATTATTTGCAAACGAAAAAATGCTGTCTTCAAATTCCTTTTTTACAAATAGGTCAGTTTTGTAATTTTACAATGTCGATGTGGTCTCTTTCGAGACAACATCTTTTGTCACGGGGGTAGGCTATTAAATATTGAATTTACTATGCGAGGCTTTTAAAGGCTTACAATAAAATTATAATAGAATTTTTTTAAAGTAAAAGCTGCACAGTGTAAATGAACGAAAATAAAAAACAAATTGATACTTTTCAAAGAGTTACAAATAGCACATGGATTCATCTTAATGAGACTCCCTTTTTTAATGAGAAAATGATGAAAAGATATGAGGAAATTGACGTTAATGTATTCCTGGCCTCCTTATTGAGAGATTTTTGCACCCCCTCCCCCCAAAAAAAAAACGGGGTAACCGATCCCTACTATACTACTGAGCCTTTCGAGGGGAACGCACGAAGGGGGGAGGACGCTTGCTCTTCGTTTGTACCCTCACGCCCACAAGTCCCCGAATTTCCTCCCTTCGCCATAAATAAAGTCGGCGCCCACAACGCAGGTAGGCTACATCGTACACTACTGAGTTTTGTAAGCGCCTTTCTCTTGTTCTTATCGCTTACTTTCTGTCGAACTAGATGAAATGAAATCTAAAGATTAGTACCGGAAGCTGGAGGTTGCAACAATCCGATTGTAACATTCGAAAACTGTTACTCAGTCGACATGAAGACGTCTCACCATGTTTTATGGGACAAATACGGCGGGCTTTTCTCAGTATTTTTTTGAGTAGATTCTTGAAATGGTTGCAAATGGTAATTTCTCTTTCGCTTATAAGGCGCCGCGTGGCATAGCCAGTACATGTAAGTGTTGAAGTTGCAATCCGAAGGTCCTCTTCCTACCACAAGACAGAAATACTAAACCCTCTGAAAGGAGACATAAATTTAATGAGAACTGTTTACTAAGGAACGTCATGCAGAATTATCCTTATTACATAACCGATACACTAACAAAATACTACCAGAGGTTCTAGGTTACCACGTACGCACCACTAAAAGCACCCTTAATATATGGTCAAAAAATACTCGGTGGAAACGCTGTGTATTTCAGATTCCAGGCACTGGATTCCAGACCCCCTGTCAGAGGAATATGGATTCCAAATTCCGAATTCCAATCGTTTGAGGGATTCTGGACTCCAAGGCCCAGGATTCCAGATTCCGGAATCCGGATTACTTTTCGTGGGGCGATACAATCAAAAGAACATAGAACGCTGAATATCTAGACAGAATCTAGCGAGATAAGAGACTTTTCCCCAAAAAGATATAGCTCTGAATATCTAAAGTATTTACATGACGTTCTTTTATAGGAAAAAAAAGAGTGACCGCCGTAGAATGCGACGAATCTCAAACCAAAAGCATAATAAAAAAATTATTATTTTCAAATCTACTCCGAAACTATCACATAGGCACAAGCGCTCCTCGAACCGTGTAGTCAATATCAATTTCTCACAAATCGATCTTGATAATTCAGGTTTCGAACTATCCAGAAGCTACGTGTATGTAATACAAAGTTACTAAATCAAGTTAATTATATCCTACGTCGTCTTCAATCAAAAAGCGATTTTATTCGATACGAGTTCCACATCCAAGGATATTTACAATGCAAGAGGAACGAGAAAAAAAACGAGGATGGGCGCTACAATTTCAGCACATATCTCAGCAATTTTTTACTTCGTACTTCTCTGAGGCGACCGCAGTGTCTTAGCATGATAAGTATTGCCTTTCCTGTGGAATCCATCTTCAGCTGTGAGTAGGTTTTGAGGTCGTCATCAACAAAAAAATACTCTCCTGTTTAGAGACAAGAGGACAACCAGTTGGACTTTGTAACTGGCTTTCCTGCCTGACACTCGGGTATGCGAAGCCTTTCATTATTTATTGCGGTACACAGTTATACTGGGAAACTTTCGAATCCCTCCTCTCCTAACCTAATGTTAACAATTACTTCTTACTTAGGGCAAAATGTTGGGTTAAGGGAGGGGTTGGTGGCAGTTTCCTAGACTCTTTTATACTATACGGTGCAAATTACGCGCGCTGTGATTGGTCGTTACCCATGATGATCTATTAGAGTACAGACATATCGATGACGTCACGGGACACTTGTTCACCATCAGAGATTATTTCGGATTAGGCATGTAAGGCCTCGCAAAACGTTAAGCAGAAGCTGTTTACAAGTAACAAAATTTGGACAAACCAAAAAAAAATCGTTTTTTAACGACTTGAAAATGCCTAAACTGGAAGAAATTTACACAATAGTTTTCATCATGTGTCACGGCTACGAGACATCATCATGTGTCTCATGTGTCTCGCCTGCGGTTCGTGTGCCACTTCTTTGTTTTTACCACATTTTAACGTCATCTGTGATCTGTTACTGAGCAGACGTGCGGCAACACGGAATCTATTTTTTAAACATATTTCCGGAACCAATGAAATAAACCATATTCTATTTTTGCTTAACAAAATGCTCCAATAAAGAAATGAAAGACCGTGTTTCAGACAAATGAGAAAGTAAAAAAAGTAATAGGTTAGCAAAACAAAAAAAAACTTTGCTCGTATGTCATGCTTTTTTGTGCATTTCCTTTCCTTCGTTACGCAACTACGAGGTGAAACTTCCTAATTTCAGGTGCTATGGAGGAGGTCAACACAATACTTTGGAATTCAACTGCCGGAAAATTTAATTATCAGCGTAAGCTAGCAAAGGGAATGGAGATAGGGTGTCTCCTGGTAGTTTTACACTATATGCTTGCAACATCGTTTTGTTCAAGCTGCTTCAAATAAGTTGAACTCCTAAGGCGGACTGCAATGCGTACGTTGATCCAAAGCGATTGGATGCACTGTAAGTTACTACCTACAGTCTAGCTTCCTAAGTATAACCAACGTGCCGATGGAAAGCGTCATTAGGGAGCTTAAGCAGCGACGTTTTTGAGCGACGCACGTCAACCGGAAGTGGGGTATTTTCCCTCTTAACATGCCTTGATGATATAAAATTTGTATTCCTTAGCTTCTTTACTGTTATAGAGGCGATTTGACTGAAAATTTGCGCGAAACCACCGTCAAAAAATGAAAAAAGGCCACTTCCGGTTGACGTGCGTCGCTCAAAAACGTTGTTGCTTAAGCTCCCTAATGCTAACTCACTTACCTTCCGTTTCTGGTGTCTCAGCCTCCTTAAAAGCCTAAAAGAAAATAACAGATCAGTATACCGTATGTACTACAAAAGACTCTTAACACAATCACACAAAAAAATCACCTTTGTTGTGTTTAAAAACTCATATTGCTTACGGGTTTATTCACAGTACCGCTCAAAAAAACGAGACGAGAGTTTCGTCTCGAGAGACGAGCATTGCGTCTCTAGAGGCGAGAGTCCCGTCACGGAAGACGAGACTCTTGTCTCGGAAGAGGGTTTAATGACTGTAAGATCATCTCTGGATGACTGGTGGTGATCTAAAGAAATGATGGGTTCTGGGAACAAGACGTCTAAGGAGTAGGTCTATGACGTATTTCCGTTTTTGGTACTTGACCCCAAACTTCTTTCTGCTAAATGTTCGTACCAAGGCTTCTCTCGTGTCAAGGTTACATCTAGGTTGCGATCTCCTGACGTCGAACGCATGACCCTTACGGTAAATGATTCACGTATAGTGCTTATCAATGATACTAGGACTATCATCGCACATCAATTTATCAAGAAAAATTGAGCAGGGAAATTATGATACCTTGTATTTCTTCATCACTGGTTCTCCCATTGCTGATCGAGGAAGACGAAGGATCTTGTACTTAGCGATGATGACTTTATGGATCTCATCTATGGCGTTGTTGACCTGATCATAGGAGATGCGTCCTTTGATATATCTACAATTAAAAGTGGAAGCAAGCTAATGATGAGACTGTGAAATACAAGACTCGCGTGGGGTGATTTTCACGCGCGCCCGCGTTTCGCTTGCTCAACTATTCCTGAGGAAAAATGGGGGACTACTCGTAGTCTAGTGAAATACGTACATACAAAATACATTGTGACCACAACAAAGAAAACACATACAATATGATTAGAAAATGACAATTTGCGCAACAAATTGCTACTAGTTTGGAAAAATTCAATTCCTTGAAAGACAAACCTACAGAATTGAATGAAGCCTTATTAAAGCCCAACAATGAAAATTCAAATGTAACGGAAGAACAAAAGAAAGAAAAAGGGCAAAGACGTCGGAACTGTTTACTCTGTACGTAGACTCACCTTTACCAGCGAACTGCTTGTAGACAAGTATGAGGGACTACAATCTTGGACAAAATAAAATGGAAAAGCAAACCCCCATCCTCTCCCCCCACCCCCTAAATCAAGGACGAAGCAAAACGCGCCTTTTTCCCATCTTTGATTTGGGGGGGGGAGTTGGGGGGTCTAGTCTTTCCATTTATTTTGTCCAAGATTGTGGCATTCTACGTTTAAGAGAGGAAAGCCATGCTTCCTAAATGTATGGGACTCAAGGTAGTGACACTAGAAAAAGCTCGAACCAAGTTAGCCTATGGCATCATGTGTGCCTTTTAATATAATTGGAAAAGTAAGGTCACTGGTTATTAGTTTTTGTTGGAAAGCATGGTAGTTTGGGAGAGAACTGCAAGCTCAAAAAAATACAAATGAATCCCACTACATTTCAAATGCGATAATTAGAAACACTTACTTTGGTATTTCTTCAAACTCTTCCACAGTCAGATAAGCTAACTTAGGAAACCGTGATCCATTATCTGCAGTAGAGATGTCTTTGACTCGTTTGGTCTTTCTTGGATTTTGTAGACTCTCTTTCAAAGGTTCATCTTTTTCTTTAGATGGCCTAAGCATTATGCATCAAATGAATAACAGAATTTTACTACTTTTGCCAGCAGAGATTGAACTGTGTCATGTTGGCAAATGAATTTCTCTGGAGGTCTTCCAGCATACATCAAGCCAGAAAAATTTATTAGCCCAAACTGGATTAAAAATCTCATATCTATACTGAGAGATACACAGTACCATTATGTACTGTATAAGATAATATAGACAAGACATAACTTTAAGAAGCTTTTTCAAGGGACATGGGTACAGTATGCCAAAAAAAAGGTTGGTTGTGTATAATGTTATAATAACAGCATTGATGAGGCAGGGAAAATCTTGGACTGTACATATACATGTACGTGGCACATGATTGTAGAACTGTATTACTATACTTTTTTTTTTGGAGTAGAGAGAAACATGTAGTAGCTGTGCACTAATCTATCATAAACATTACACTGATCGTACATGGGAAACTAGCTATAGATATTTCAGATTAAAATATTATTGAGTACAGTGCAAGACTCTGCTCTGAGGAATTCAAAGGGAGCACAGTGTTCTGAACCTGTGAAATCCACCTGGTGTCCAGCATATTATTTCTGTGCAAAAACCAACATTTCTTAGTCGACTAAGAGCACATGTGAGGTGCCAGGGGCCACCGGATGCTGATTGAGCAAAACTTCTGCAGTGTTTCGAAATAAATATAATTTGTTCCCAATTTTGTCTTTCTTCTCATCAGTCAGATTCCATTTAGGAATAACTGTTGCTAGTATATATTCATTGCAAGTTTTACCTTTGAACTTTCTTCTCAAATCCAGGCAAGTGAGGAGGTAGATTAGAGGAAGTATGCTCAAGTCTTTCCCTGAATTTGACAGCAGCCTCCTTCATTGCCTGACCAGTAAAAAGGTAATATTTGTCATGACATTAATTAAACAATCCAAAGGAACTGCATAAGATAAGTGAAAAAGAAAGTGGGGGTGGGGGTGGGGGAGTGTTTGTAATGGACTATCCTGTTACCATAAACAGTAATTGTTTGTTGTTTAATTAGCTTTGGCAGCTAGAAGAAGACAAAACAACTAAACAAACAAAGCAAAGATAGATGTACAATGCAACTCAAGTCGTGAAAATATCAAGGTAGGAAAAGGTAAGAGAAGGGTCAGTAACAGCACGAAAACAGCTGTCTGAAGGTAATTTATTACACTGTACAGCAGACCAAACGGACCAAAGAATAAACAAAAGGAGTATGAATTATTAAGAAAGACCATTATAATGAAGAGGAAAATAACCACATACCACAGCACATCAGGTGAGGCTAAAATAATATGATTACATTTTAAAGAAACAAGTGCTAATTTCAACATCCTCTTGGATAAAATTATTTAAAAAACATATGCAAACGTTACTGTACATGATAAGGGTGCATAAAAGGCATAATTATAAAGTTATTTCTAAGATGCTGTGTGGATGAAATCCTATGATCTGACCATTCAAATTAAAACCCCTCAATCCAGTAATTGTACCTTCAGCGCTTGAACCTACAGCTGTCCACCTATTAATAATATTATTACCATTGTTTTATGGTATTGTAGAATTTGAGTTTTTTTTGGTAGTTTCCTGGTGTTGTAGATGGGTACAGTCACCAAAATATGACATGCAGGTAATACAAAGACTGAGCTGAACAATTCCCACACTACAACACAAAAACAAACTAAAAATGGCTTCCACAACTCCTAGAAAAGACCCAACCTTTTCTTTGACTTCTTCCAGAAAACGAGTGTATGTCCTTACCTCTCCCTGTTCCAATAACACCTTTTCTTTTTTCACATCTGCTTGCAAGGAATCCAAAGCAGCTTCTATCTCCTTTAACTCATTCTCAATTGATTTCAACACAGAGATGCAAGTAGAGGAACTCCCTAGTATGGATCATTTACATTGTAATGTTACTCATTTTATTTAGACAGTGAAACTAGTGCGGAAAAAAAAACATCATAATCGGTTTGATGTTAGCTGGTTAAACTATTGACTTTGCAGAAGTTTTTGTTGGCCACTTGGGGAGGGGAATGGTAAGAGGGAAAAACAAAGCACATGGGGTAAGGAAAGAAAGAAACCTTGCTTAGCCACATTCCTCTTCTCATTGTCTTGCACATGCTCACTTTTTTATCAAATTACTGTCAGATTACCAGTGGATGTTCCTGATTATATTGGAATTTTACAATGAACTGGTTTTTGAAAAAAAAAAAAAGAAAAATCCTCTCAAGCAAGGGCAACAACAAAAAGTGAACTCAACCCACATATTATTAATAAATTATTAAAAACTGAATCATTGGATAATGAAATTCTAAAGCACAGATTGCCTTAGCCATTACGGTACATGAGCCGTAATACCATGCTCTCCAAATACAGTCTGCATGGTAACTGTATGCATCTGCTCAAAATTAAAAACAAGCTGAAAATCAGTTGTTTTCACAAATAAAGTCGGGAAGAATTCTTGATATTTTGAGAGCATTTTTTTATAAAACAATTATTCCAATCGCATTTTTTGGATATGAGATGATTGTAGCCAACTCACATCCAACGCACAAGTGTGGAATAATTGTTAACTGATATGGCATTGCATATGGGATACAAACCTGAGCCACATTGATACAAGGGGGGTGCTCTTACAATTGTGCCATCAATATACCTCTCGCCTTGTGGTAATTACTACACAGTCTCAGTGTTCTTACCAGGATTTTCCACCCTGGGGTCCACAGGACCCATAGAGAAGCTAAAAGGGGCTCATGAGGGAGAAAAGCAGGTCACAATTTTTTAGATACAGTTAATTCAACGTTTACAGGTCTGAGTTAGAGTAAATACCTCGTACTTTCTTAGATGATACATATCCACTTTTTACATACAGTTAACTCAACGTTTTATGACTCTGAGTTAGAGTAAAGATGCCATGACCAAAAAAAACTTTTTATAACAGGTTTTTCTCCTTCTTTGCATCCTTGGGCTAATTACAGTGCAGCATTCTCCGAAAAAGTGCAGCAATGTCACAATGCTGCAGTCTGATAAGAACACTGCAGTTTTGAATTAAGCAAGAGTTTTGAACAGCATCTCAGAGGCACACTAGTGGCCAAGAAACACAGAGAACCTCCTCCCTTATACAGGGCTGTCACTTTGGGCAGGAGGCAGGATTTTCCCCCACCCCACCAGCTTCTAAGAGTCAACCAAAGGTTACTTACATAGGAAACACAAGGAAAACAGAACGAGAATCAAAATTTTACATACAGGAAAAATTGCCTTACCACAGGCACACCAAGCATACTACGCACAGGAATGGAAGTTGTAATCAATTTCAAATTCAGTGATCTTCAAGTAAGTGGTGTATCCTCTCATCCATGCAGACAGTAAAACAAGAGGGGGCCCAGCCAGGGAAATGTTATTTTCTCTGTCTGCAGTTTTCCGTTCGGCCTAAAAATAACGTTGGTGCACGGCTCCCGGATCTTCCACCAGCGGTAGAAGTACAGTTAAACAAAACTGTTGATTTTGTTTTAGTCTCCCATCCATAAGAACTCTATAACTCTTTTGGACCTTTCAGCTGGTTCAAGTATCATTTTTCAGTGAATAGTACTCAGGGAAAGAAAACAACGACGACGAAATGGCGAAATTACGTGACCCGGTACGTGACCCGTCAGACAGGATGAACTTCAATTACATACATTGTAGGGTTGTCGAAAATAAGATCGTGATCGCGAGTCTGATTGAATTATAGTAACAAGGGATGAACTTCAAATTTAAAGTTACTCTACCTGCACTTCTTATTTCCACGCATCGCTTTAAATTCGTTGTCTTCGTAGCAAAAAGCTCGGCGATGTCCTCCAAAGTCGACGCCATTTTGAGTTTTAGCGCCAAATTTTCAATAATTACCGCTGGTGATAGAATGATTGCAGGCGCGAGTAAACTCTGGCCCTTGAGAGACTGGATTTGATTAATCCCCATATTCTTTTAGCACTTTAACAACTGAGCAGACCATCCATCGCACGCAGAAATACCTTATGGAATAAATAACATGTTTTTAGGGACCATCCGAGAAGGGTGGTTGTCATCAAACCTTCGCCGAGGAAATCAAGTGTCAGCGGCTCACGTACCCTTTCATACACAGAACCGGGCTACTCCAATTTATTTCAATCATTATTTTAGGAAAGTCAGTAGTATGAAATTAATAAATGCCTGTCAGTTACTTACCATGAACTTTACAAGTTATGGTTTCACGCGTCAACCTCTATCTGAAAAAATCTAGTTTTACAGTTCAACCGGCCTTCAGAATTAAAACAAAATTCACAACGAGATTTTTGACAAATCAGTCAGTAACAGTATGTGTGAGGAAGGGTTCAGTAGTGTCATTTATTTTATTATTATTAATATTATGTTATTTTTATTCTGGTTTATGTTATTTTTAAAATAGAATGCCCCCGATGAAATTTTTACCGCTTAAAATGACCTTCCGCGATTTAATACTATCTAATATAACATCTTATCCTCTTTAGGAGAATAATTTCTAAAAGTTCTAGTTTTCAGAGGGACGTAAGAAAAGATGTAACGATTTGCGTAAGTCCTGCTTTTAGAAGATCAACTAGTACAGTATTGAGGAAGTGTATAGGCCTAGTAAATCAAAAGTAGCCCAAGCTCGATCGAAATATTAGCATCGGCGAGCATCGGCATTGTTGCGTAACATTCGAAATTTGATTTGTATGGGGAAAAAACCCGGAAATCCTTTCATTTTCGTAGGTTACAGAAACGATAGGTTTTTTCCCCATACAAATCCTTATATTTCGGAATGTTATGCAATAATGCCCATGCTCATATTTCGAGCTTGGGAGAAATTCGCGCTGGAAACATTCAGTTGTTAACTCAGTCTGATCAGGGTTAGTGGGGCTAATTCGTTCCGTAGATTGTGAGAACGCAGGCCAAAGCCTGACGCAAATACTTTGGTCAAGTTGCCGGAAACCTGAAAAATAAAGGTTAAGAGCCGAAGGAGCACGCCGTTCGTTCCCGAAAAACTTGGATGCATTACATTGATAATGCCGGATATTCTGCGCAGCCGGTAAGATCACTATCGACAACAAAGGCAATAGTGACACGATACATTCAGCCACCAGCTACGCGGATACCAGATGGAAATCAAGCTCATGCGGTTGGGTCTTAACACACACAGTCATAACAAACAAAGTGCTTGAAGACTACAAACACTTATTTAATAAGATTGGTCTGATAACTAGAGCTTCTTGCTTGGAAAGGAAACAAAGTGCTTAAAAACATAAGCTCTCGACTGTGAAGGACTGATAAGTCAAAATAAGATGATAAGTATTCCTAGAGAGGGAAAGGAAAACGCGGGTTCACTTGATAAAATCACGAACATGGAATTCCAAATCATTTTAGTAGAGAATTAAATAGAAGACTTTTCTGGTGCAAAGAAGGGCGTCCCAAAGTTATCTGCAAACTTGTAAAGTCTTATAGTAAACGGAAATGAAATACCGCTCCCGTGGAACCATGTGATCCTCATTGCATGCGTGTATGGCCGATTCAGATCAGTTTTTGTTTGAAGGGATTTGTATTTCCGGTATTCTTTTTGCCACTCAGACTGAGTAACATGAGTCATGGCGTTAAACAGTCTAAATATGACATTTTACGTTCATTTCCGATATTCTTACTACTACTTTCTACATCCAAACGCTGAAAAATACCAAAACAAACCCTTTGCATGAATAATGTTGTGCTGGAAAACAAAGAGGAATGTGAGTCATTCCGTGTGTACTCTTGCAAACAAGGCGAAAATGTCGAAAATCCCACACGGAACAACGAATTTAGAGAGTTCGTCTTCTTGTCACTCTAACGTCTCCGATTTTGCGCACGAGTGGCCCAAAGGTGGCATGATCGATCACGTGAACAAAGCGTTTGATTGCGCACGTGACTTAATGAGTGATTCTCCATACCCTGCGTAGCAGGGAAATAACTGGGCGCAAACGCGAGGAAAGAGGGAGCTAACCCTCTCGCCTCACGTGTCCGTCCCTAGTGCGCGCCCTTTCTTTCTTGCGCCCATTTATTTCCTAGCTCCTGCTACTCAAACTAGATTCTCCACTGATAGGACTGAATAGCGGGACTGACGGGACTGAATAGCGTGATTCATAGTTTGTCTAAGCTTCACATAATTATTCCGAGAAAACCACAGAGGAAGTTGCAGGATTATTATATAATCCTCCCGGTTAAAATCTCGCAAGTGTATGACCACTGTTTTCAAATTTGGAGGGAAATTGCAAGATTAGTACCTCATCCTTCATTTCCTGCCTAGTACTCCCACCGCATAAGAAGTCACGAACCTAGCCCCACAGGAACGGCGTTAAGCTTTATGAAGTTCGCTAACAACTTTTTTTCCTTTTTACATGCACTGAGACGTACACCAGCGTTGTAAAGTCAGGGGGCATTAAATGAGCTAAAAATGTCGCCATTGAAATTCAGCCTTTAGGAACTGGTGACCTTAAAACTTTGTGTAATAATGATCGGTTGATTGATTGTTTGTTTGCCTAATAACATTCAAAAAACGTACCGATGGAAAATGAATTCAGGAAAAAAATTCATGTTCAACCGTTCCCGACTGTGTGCCTGGGATATTTGACTGTTAAGTTCGCAGGTTTTTCTTTTTCCTTTCCCTTTCTTTGTCCCTTCTTTTCTTCTTTGTCGTTTCTTTATTAAAAAAGTTCATCTCTGCTTAGTTTGTAACTTAAACTTGTACAACTAATACCAAACCAGTAAAAAAACAAACAGCAAGGCCAACAATCACAGAATAGTCCCTGAGTTAACTTCTGTTTCGCCTCACGTGAATGTATAAAGACTTTTGCCAAATTGTATAGGCTGCCAAGTTTACAGCACGTGACTAGATAGTGAGCTTTCAAAGCGCAAAGTTCCAATTATGGCGTGATAAACATTTGACACCCTTGTTTTTCGGACATAAATACTAGCTTTACAATCATGCCCTGAAAAAGATTCGAGAATGCAGTTTCGTGTGCTAAATGCCACTGAACTGACAAGAGCAATCGAAAGATATTTCGCCGTGGGTATGACAAATCTTCAAATCTGCCAATTTCCTTCCGATGAAAGTCAACTTATTTCTCGGATGAACATTATGAGTTAATCAAGGGGTTCAATTATGAGAGGTAAGCCGATTTTGCATGGAGCTCAGCATATACTGGGAGACAATTTCTCGTTAGGTGCCAGAATACCCAGCGATAGCTTTTCTTTGAAACATTGAATCTTTCACTTTACTGAGCAAGCCTTTTAAGTAAATATCGCAGATTTTTTTTCGTGTTGAAAATACCAGTGCGAACAATGAATGATATTATAAAAAAAAAGTTTAAAAAATTGACAACAAAAAAAAACAACAATAACACTAGACAAAACCCCCACAAAGCACCCAAGCTAATCAGCAATAGTGTTCACAGCACCAAAAAAGAAACCCAGAATCACCAGTAGCAAAATCAGCTTTTTATTGTCAGGTATAAAATATATAGCATTGCTTAAGTATCGAAATATATATGGAATCCAATATTTTGTGATTTATTGCCCTTCTGGCTGGGGTTAGCAATAAGTACGATAACAATTTGTTACGGATATGGCATAATTGTATACTATTCTTATATATCCAGCTCTAAATTTCATCATGCTTTTACATATGTTGAAACATATGAAAGAAACATGATATTCTCTCTAGAATATGTTCGATAACGTGATAATTCTCTGGTTTCCTAGGCGTATTACGGTATTTGTTACATGTTCGCTTAAATGTTAAGCAGTTTACTAGAACTCCAGTTCAAGATTTTTTGATTTTCCCTAGGATATAAAATATAGTTTCTTCAAATATAGTTGTTTCAGGGACGTAGCAAGCCTTAGACCTGTAATCCCGGCCCTAAAAATTTTTGGTGATGCTTGCAATTTTTAGATATGTGGAAATGAAAGTCAGCCAGGCCTACAACTAGTCGAAAAGCTGGCTACACCGCCGGTTATTTTATAATACCGGAAGAAAAGGACGTATTTTGTCGATTAATAAAAGGTATGCAACCAATCAGTTTGGTGAGCGTTCTTTTCCAATTACTGTAATTGTAATTTTTGTCATTATCATTGACTTATATTGAATGACAATAAGGTCATGCGGTACGGTCTCAGAAAGATCAGTATTAAACTAAAATCTACTGAGTATTTACCATCAAACAGGTCCGTTTCTTGCACTGAGTTTTTTTTTCTACTTGTCCTAGAAAGGAAATTTGTGTATCATCACTCCGGCTCTGGCAAGGCTGAAAATAAGCTGAGTTTGTTTATGTTACTAAAACCGAACTTAGTTTATATGAGAGCTTCAATGTCCACACGCACGCTTGACGGTGTAGGAAACAGGGCAGATCCTGGCGGTGCACTGACTTTTCTTTGCCGCAGCTTTGGTCTGGGGGAAGACTTTAACTTTCCGACCACATCGTTTCCATTTTCATCTTTTACAGCGGTCAATTTTGAGTTGCTGCTTGACATAAGTTTTGTCCTTGAGTTCAGTTTCCCTTGATAGAATGGATTACTTCCAGAGCTATTCCCCCCGAATACGGTAAAGGACAGTCTCTTCTGTTTCTTACTAGTTTTAATGTCCTCGTCATCATCTGGTATGTAAAACATCGGCATAGACGGAAATTTGTAAAGTCGCTGGGTAGTGTCGATAGGTTCCTCAGGTGGATGACTCGCTGATCGCCCTAACGATTCCTTTCTCTTTTGCAAGGGTTCAGTAGCTAAATCTTTTTCAAACTGTTCGGCCTCTTCCGCAGTACGAGCGAAAATGTTATCCTCGCTTGCGGTCAAATCTTTATCTGAGACATTTCCGTCCTCTGAACTTCTCAAAGACGCAGACTCCTGTTTCAACAAGTCGCTTTGTTCATCAGTTTGTGGATTGTTATCTGGTGATGAAAACACAACAATAGGTTTCTGGTCCGTTGCGTCAGCGATTTGTGCAGTGTTTGTGCTCTCCAATTTCTTTTGCGCGATAGTCCTTTCAGCTCCACTTTGATTATCTGGTTGGACCTCTTCTTCTCGCAGTATCTGTTTCTTCTTATTAGCATGCTTGACGCACTCAACGGCAAAGGCGGAGAGATCAGCGTCCTTGAACTTTAAATACTGCCTCATACTCTCTCGAAGAGCCGGATTAGACTCTGTCTTTAACAAACTCCCAACCGAACCAGTAGATTGCCTTTTTATTCGACTGGGGCGTTCAGACTTTCTCTCTGTTTCATTCTTAGCGTTAAGTTTACTTTCATAAGGGACCCTGGAGTTTTCAGTCTCATTTTGCCCACTTGCGGGTGTTTTGTTGCGAGAAACATTTCTGCCCTCCTTGGTTTCGATGGATCGCTCGCCGAGAGCATTTGGGCCCAACTTTTTCTTGGTTTCCTGTGCATTTTTTTGAGTGTCTTCAATGAGGGTCTCACTAAAGAAGACGTCTTGCAAATGAGCCGACCTTCGGTCGCGTGGGCTGCTATTTGCAACCTGCTCAAGAGCAGAGTTACGTGACTTGATAAATATAACGTCGCCCAGGTCTTCGACATCATCATCTTGTGGGCGACTGTCAAAAAAGGATTTCTCGCCGTCTGTCATTTTGATGACAGCTGTGTCTGCGTCTGTGGAGTTGTTGCGACCCTCATTTGATTTTGAGATATCTCGTCCATTATTTGCAAATAAATCATTCTTCTCCTCTCCATTCAGTTCTCTATTCTCTTGGCAATCATTGTCATTTCGCTGAGAATTATTTCTCGATCTTTCCCTGCTTGAGGGACCAGGCGAATTTGTGTTGGAGCCTTTTGAAGGCCAGTTTCCTCCTCTGACCCCGACGTTTTCCACCAGCTCCTTCAAAGCGAGTTCCAATTCTTTTATCTTCTGCACTTGACTCTCTTTTCCCGATCTGGGTGTTACTCCTGAAGAAGGACTGTCAGGAGTGTAAACACTGTCATCTGTAGAACTAGCTGATTCCTCGCTTGTACTACGGTCGCGTTGCGACGCCAAATGGGATGATGCTCGCTCGACCCACTTATGCAGCCTGGACTGAATTTGTCCCGATAACTGTTGGTGGTTTTGGGGAATGCTTTCAAGGCTGTAGGCGGAAACAATTCTGCCATTGTCGGGACTTCTACTGTTGTCGCTTAAATCAACAGAAGTTTGAGATCTGTCGCGCCTGAATTTGGGTCTTTTTGTCGAAAGAGACCCGGATGCCTTTTTGGTGCACGAGTAACCATTTATGCCGTTCATGACGTAACCGTTCTCAGTTTGGCCGATTGGATCTTCCTTGCCACCGTTCTTTTGGTCTCTAGAACTCACTTCTTTACTGTCCATTACACTCATTCGTTCAAGTTTGACCATGCTGGGTGCGCTTGATGACTCATGCAGTCCCACACTGTGCGCATTCCCCACTGGAATCCTTTTATTTGAGTATGAATCATTTATATGGTTCTCACGCTCTATGTCTTCTTTTACGTACCAGGTGGAAGTTATAGATTCTGAGCCTTTTCGCATTTTCTTTACCACTTTTTCCATCGGTATGGGAGCGCTGCGCGACCTTGAATGTTGTGGTGAAACGTCACTCGTCATTTCGACTTTCATAGGCTCACAGTTCATAATTTCCGCAGAGTTTTCTTTGCCAAGTCGCTTGTCGCGAACGTTTGAGCTTGCCTTACCAATCCATTTTTGAAGCCTTGCTTTAACGCCTGACGAAATATTTAGGTTATTGTCGTCCCTGTACGACGATGACATCTTTTGAACTGGCATGGAAATCAGACGACAACAAGGCTCACAAATCTCTTTGGTGCATTTGCATCACTTAGTATACAGACCTATGGGAGGTAACGATGACACGATTAAATTGTGCTGAGTGTTTTGTCAATAAAGATCTCGAGACTAGCTCAAGTTCTGTAAATAGGACCGGTTGGAGTTTCAGATCACGAGATTATTTAGCAAGAACTCACCTAAACATTCTTATCTGATCCAGCAAAGTAACGTAGTTTCAGAACAATCAATATTTATATAGCACCCGTGTTTACGTCCTGCGGCGCGCGTATAAAATTTCAACGCTGATGTAATTATAACTGAGCAGTAGATCGCACTTGTCTGGGAGAAGCGACTCACGGGATACGAGCAAATCACGCAACCAAAATATCTTCTTATCTACACAAACTTACCGAAAACTTCGGTATCATCAAAATAAATTGAATAGTTTGTGTTGGTTCGCCACGCTCACGTCATTTAAAACAATCAAATCAGAGCCTTTGTATTTGAAGTATGTATCATTTCTTTGATAATGCTAATGTGTTAGAGGTCCATTATTCCGCCCTTACCCTCTAAGATAGCAACAATCAATCTCATTGGCCAAGGTTCCTCTTTGTTCAATAGTTGATTGTTCCCGTGGAAAACCGCATAATTGTTGCTGCAGTTTTGTTTAGATATTTAGCACTTACCCGACAACTATCGCTCAGAAGAGTTAAACAAGTTTAACGCAGTTTTAGTGGTTTGAGTTGTACAAAAGTACCTTTTTTAAACATAAAGCAGAATTCTCTTTCTGAAGGCCCAAGTGTTGATTTAAATAAATTAATCCCTTTTATGGCAGTTCAGGCGACGAGAAATAATACAAACAATTTGTCATCATGCGATACAGGACAACGGCATTGAAAATTAGACTGACGTCCCAAAGCCTTGAAATAACAATAAACTAAATAAAAGCTTACGATTAAAGAAAGGAATCTTCTTTAGGGCAAGCTAATTAACGCTAAGTTCTTGACAATACGGGCTGGTCGGTAATAAGGTGCCATTCACAACGATTTGAAAGTGAAAGATTTAATCCTTTTCCTGAAGTGCATTCCTTTGTTATTACGCAAAAAGGTGTAGAACTTTATTTAAAAGCGGTGATAACTAAATTAGAACATGTATGTTACAATCGTGATAGGTGTTCGCCATTGAACGGCGCTCGTCCCATATGGGGCGAGTTCATCAAACTTGATTATGTTTGCAATAGCACAGCCGAACGTTCATCATAAACAGTTCTTCTATTCTTGTAACTATTTTAACCAAAATGACATGAAAATTCCTTTCTTGACAGGTCATCGCGTTCTCTGTGTTTGGCGCGGCAGAGTATTAAAAAATAACTTGGTGTGCACTGAGAAAATTGACAAACAACTACGCATGCCTCGAAGTATTTCATCTTTGCACTTTGTGTAACAATCGACCTTGTCACGGTTTTCGACGCCATCTTGACGAGTGGGCAAACGCGTGAGAAATTACAGTGTTTGTATGAGAATCCAATGTCGAATAATTTCCGTAAAGCGGCTGTTCTGGAAAAAATATGAACTGTAAACTAAAGCTACACAGCAAAGGATTTTACCAACAAATTTTGGGGGCCGTTACTGTGCTTAAATTTCTCCAGAAGCTTGCTTTAGATTTTCCATATATTTGTCTGCAATTTTTCCCGGGAAATTTTTACAGACAAATGTATAGAAAATTTAAAAAAAGGTTCTAGGTCTTCTAGCGCATGTAACGCCCTCAATTTTTTTCAGTAGAATCCCTAAGAGCAAAGCTTTAGTTTACAGTTCATTTATTTTTTAAAACAGCCGTTTTACGGAAATTATTCGGCATTAGATTCTCATACAAACACTGTAATTTCTCACGGGTTTGCCTACTCGTCAACAGTGGCGTCGAAAACCGTGACGAGGTCTACTGAAAGAAACCCTGCTTGGATTTCATTTGCTCGTTGGTTATGAACTCTAGTAGATTTTTATCAGAGAGGCCGAGAAAGAGTCATTGCATCTTTTCTTTGGCCAAAAACTCGCCTTACTTTGCAAGTTCGTATTTTGCTGATTACTGAAAACAGAAAAAGAAATTGTGCAAGCGATTTCCCGGATTTCACGCAGAGTGCGGAGGCAGTGGAATATGCAGAAACACGTTGATGATATTAAACAAATTAATATTCTCACCTAGGACTGAAAGGTTGCACCGATTATACTAACATCCACATTGGCAAATGAATAAGCAAATGATCAAGGAGGTCACAGAATCGATACATGTAATATGTGTAGTCTAAAGAGTGACTTGTTAAAAGCAGGTTGCATTTCTGCAAGTAAGTATGCAAGAAAGGCCGGCTACTGCCTCTAAATAGTACATCCATTGACTGAGAAAGTACTCCAAAAATATATTTAGAAAAATGGCTTTCAAATGTAAAACACTACAAAACCACAGGGTTTAATATTACTTTAAACTTTTTTGTCTCAAAGATGGTGGTAAAGTCGGCTCATTCAATGATCATAGGAACAATATCCGTAAATTTATAGTGACCGACAGGTTGCCACTGAGCACCCCCTGTTCCGAATAGTCACAATTCAGAACTGAGCAGAATTGTTTTCAATTTGGTCGTTTGTTTATGCAATGACGATTCAAAAGACAACACTTACGAGCTATTCAGTGTCCCAGTATCCTGCTGTAATCTGTCTAATAGTTCTGTAAAACGTATTATCCCGTTGTTGCGAGAGGCAAACTTACCAGCGTGAAATCAGATACGATGGCAGACCACCGGCGCCAGTTAGGGGCACGTGAGGTGCAACGCTCATCGAGCGCAAATGTCATGATTATCAATTATATTTCTGTCATCTTTCTGTTACATCACATCTTTATTTTGAACCTTGATCACCCTTGCGTTGCTACTTATTGCGCAGTAAGGCCATCACAGTACCACATTGAGTTATTCTCTGTTTTAAACCACAAAATGTAACATTCATGGATCCCAAGCGCGTTTGAACTTTGCATAAAAAAGGCAAAAAAGAAAACAAGCAAACAAACAAACATATATTATTAATAATAACAGATAAAACTAATTTGATTAGAAATTTACAGAACACTTGACACAATTTCGATTAAAGGTACAAGTACTAGCAGAACTGAGGTCTAAGAAGTTTGGTGATAAAATACAGGACCAGTTCTTAGTCTTATCTAGTATCTGAAAAACTCATTAGTTCACTTGAAATATTGGCCACGTTGATTGCCGACTGCCCGCAGGTGCTGAGCTTAATCCTTTGTCTCACGACATTTGCAAATAGACCTCTGAGTAAATTGGCAGCTCTTGTTTCCAAGGTCACAGAGAATTCGTCACTACTGATCATGAATTCAACGTATCCTAAACATATCTGGGGATATAGCCGCGCAAGACACCCAGGCTTACTAGATGCATACGGTCAGCAATTATTTAGCGGCCTCACTTGAACTACAACTTTTTGGTGCAGTTTTTAAACGATCAATTATTCTCACTGTATATGCTCCCGCTCCAGAGCGGTGGAAAGGAGCGAGGAGTTACGGTATAACTGATCAGTCAGAGACTAGGTGTTATTTGTTTGATTTCGAACACATTCTTGCAGTTGGAGGGACAAAATGTTGGCCATTTTATTCAACAAGGAAATGACTTCAAAACACAAAGCAGGTGCAGTGAGGGTCAGGTTCAATCAATTAGTGTAATCATCAGTACTGTAATATAAGTCAAGTAACAAATTCTTCTTATATTACAATGGGCGCAACCTTTCAGTCAGCTGCTTTTCTTAAGTGAATTCTTGCCATGGAACTGCCTCAAAGCTATGACTAAAAATAACATAAGCAAGAACTTTTATTGGCTCTGACCTTTTCAGCCCTTATCCATGGTCAAACTTGGAAAAACTTCAGAGCAATACGGTTAAATAAAAATCATAGTAACCCTATAAAAACGAAAAAAGGTTGTGTAAATACCATATTTATTGCGAGCAAGGAGTACTTCTGTGGACTTGCTCCGATCATTCAACATTAAAAAAGTCATCAGCAATGCGTGCGTGCCTGTGGCGTTTTCATTACATTATAAGAGGTGGTCTTTGTAACTTTGGAGTCTTCATTCACTTGAAACCTTTTGAGCAAGCCCTTATAGGGGTGCATCACTGAGCAAGTTCTGCAACTTAAGGTCAACTATTTATCTATCTATAAATTTAAGCCTGTGGATTAAATCCCATCTTGTGGCCAGCTGATAGAGATAGAAAATTGATTAATGTGTCAGAGCCATGTAGCTTCGTAAAAATCCCATACTTATTTTTGGGGATACAAATAGCTCATTCGAAAAGTCAGGAGTAATCCTTTCTTATTGTGCTTATGTCTCGTACGTTTTTTTTTCATTTGTAAATTTACAAAAAAAGCTTCCTGGTGTTTCAAAAAGCGAATAAATTGGATGAAAAGGTCATGTTTGGATGAAAAGGGCGCGAGTTCTAAAATAAGCTCACATTTCCTTAATTAGCTTCAGGCTAGATATTGGACTTCAATGGAAAACGTGATGATATTTTAAAAACGATCAGATGTTCGTGTATCCTTCTCGAACTCATTAATAATTCATAAAGAAAATTCAAAGGAAGTTAATGTTTAATGAGTGTTTGGATATCGGATGAAAAACTGCTCATTTTTGCATCCTTAATATCTCCTTCAAAAATGATTTTGTTTGAGAAGATATATCAAACATTCGACGCAGTGTTTCATCGCCAAATGAAACACCTCGAAGTTCGTCAAAAATACTCCGCTACGCGTCGTATTTTCAACTCTCTTCTCGGTGTTTCATCTGGTGATGAAACACTGCGTCTCATGTTTGAAGAACTATGACACCTTACTTGTTACCACGGTCTCAGTTTTATTTCCCTGTAAGTGCTTGAGGGTAATCGAGAAGATCTCGTTTGCAATTTAGACGGTTTACTGTTTCGAGCTATAGCAGA